CCAGAAGTTGGAAAACGGTGGGTCGAACAGCCCTGCACAGATGGCATATGCATCCGGAACATCATTCCACTTCTTCTCACATTCATCGAAGAGCTTTTCCAAGTCGTTCCAACGAGTCACATCAGTTTTGACGTAGAGGATGTTGGGTTTGCCGGCAGCAAAGGTGTCAAAGTCCGGGGTGGTCTTGATATCGGCTACAAGCACGCGTGTGCCGAGAGCTTGTGCTTGCTTCGTTACAGATAGACCGATGCCTATATCATTATGTCAAAAAGGCTCGTGATATGGGAGATGTGGCTTTACCTGATGCACCTCCGGTGATGAGGAGGATCTTGCCATCTAGAGGCTGGTCAATGGGAGTGATGTTTGATCCGCTTTCCATGATCGAGTATATCTCTCTAAATTACAGAACAATTGAGCTCCCAGTGTAAGCTATAGGTACAAGATGTAGTTATGTTGATGCGGGGTTATGAACCTCCGGGTAGCAGCACCCGGACCCACTGCCGAACTAATCCGGTATGCACATTGGGGTAGTTTCGGATCGCAGGAATCCATACAGCGGAATCACATCACTTTCGTGCCGGAAGTCTCAGTACGCCTTGACTATCGATACATGAGCTTTCATCGTTGCCAGTTGTGTCCAGCCCACACATCCTGTCCCACGAGTTGCCATACGTGGTGCACAGCGTCCCGCCCATGGCTGTGGAATTCGGGACTGATTGGGACCGATTTTAGACCAAAAGCAACTACGATGACGCAGCCTCGTGCCGCTTACGACATAGCCTCGATGCATTTCCGTAGAGTCGTGGTGTGGAAAGCCAACGTGTAAGTCGCTGGAGAGGGAAGGTGCAGGACTAGAAGGTGCAGGTCAGGGTTCCCGCACCCGTCACGGGAACCGCCTATTCCCGCCTATGTGCTTGCACCGCTTCTCTTCTGCACCACACTTCCTGCGTCACACCGTTTGTTGTCCTTCATTCGCAGTAATGCTTACAAGGGTTTTTCATATCTTTGCACTGTTCAAATGTAGCTTGTTATCTACGGTGTTCAACGCCTCAATGAAGCCTAGAATGTACACGCCACCCTGCCCGAGGCCACCACACAAGTGCCCTCTGACATCCACGTCTAGCAGTACCATCCACCATCAATTGGCATCGCATTTCCAGTGATGAAAGATGATGCGTCTGTAAGCAAGAATTCAATCAGCGGTGGTACTTCTTTTTGATGCGCCGCCCGTCCAAGTGGGAGCCATGAGTAATCCACCACCGTCCCTTGAAGCTCATAGGACTTTCTCAGCATTGCTGTATCAACTGGACCCCTGTTCTCGGTTAGGACAGATATACACCTCCTACAGCGGCTAGGAAGATAACTCACGGGCAAATGCAGTTGACTCGGATGTTCTTCGGGCCTAGCTCTTTTGCTGCGGATCTAGTCATGCCAACGACAGCATGCTTCGATGCGCAATACGCAAGCTGTTTGGGTGCACCAACAAGACCCAGGATACTTGCAGCATTGAGGATGGCGCTTCCCTCATTCATATGCGGAACCTCTGCGCGGAGACAGTTCCGCAAACCTACAACGTTTACTCCCATGATAAAGTCCCAGTCGTCATCGTCGACTTCCTCGATGGTAGCGACGCTGCTCTGCTTGCCAATGACACCAGCTAGGTTTGCTGCACCGTCTATCTTGCCAAACTTCTCGACTGTGTCCGCAATCCAGCTGTCAACGTCCGCACGCTTACTGACATTGACGACTCTGGACATGACCTTGGCACCAGACTTTTGTAGTTCAGCTTCAAGCTCCTTGAGAGGCTTCTCTTGGATGTCAGCAAGAGATAGTGTTGCGCCTTTGCTCGCAAATAGCCTCGCCGTTTCGAGGCCCATTCCCGACGCTGCCCCCGTTATAGTGAAGACTTTTCCCTTGACCGACATGGCGACTGATAGGTGTGTTGGCAGTAAGGATTAAGACGAGGTATTCCGGATGAGGTGACGGATGCAGGGGAAGGTTTCCTCGAAAAGGATGGACTGTCTCGCAGTACTTGCCAACAAGGTAGGTTGTCACTGCAAGCGAACACGTCGAAAAACCAGGACCCAGGAAAGAAGTGGGACATTTCGTGGTATGTTATACAAACTCAGAAAGGAAAGCCCCTTCCCGGGTATAGCGTTGAAGCTACCGTAGCACTCCCGAGTCATGGACATGTGGCGCGGAAGGTGTCGACCCCGCTTTGTATGCAGAAATACGACTCCTGGGCGGTATTTGATCGATGAGAGAAGGGCCGAAATTCTCAGACACAAGATCCTGTTGTTTGGATCACTAGTTTCCTTCTCGCGACTTGGCATTTGACATGGTGTTGAGCTGGGCAGCAAGGCGTCCCGCGAATGTGTGACAGCTCCTCCCCCGGCTCTGACTGCCGACTTCGGACAGGGCACGTGTCGGCATGCCTTCGCAGACTACGCCGCATTTACACCTACGATCTCATTTTGGCAACGACAGAAAAAGATGAGTTCTACCTACAGCAACACAAAAGAGACCAAAATCAGGTTTTTCCATTTTTGTGAGTTTGGGGAAGCTGATGGCGATACAAACGTGGTATCTTCCAAGCCACTGGACTGCCTTGGGATCGTTTTACTTAGAAGTTTGATGAATTATTAGGGATGACAAACAACCTCCTCTACCATATTGATCTCTATAATACGTGACAAGATAGAAGAAAGAGGTGGTAGACGGGCGGTAGACCTTGAGAGACTCTGAAATCCATCACATAGACCAAATTTATGTCACTATTATCATAGAAGTACGACGATATCCTTCAAGCGACGCATGTGTGACCGTGACTTCACTGACACATTTGAGCATCGGTGCTTCAATACCTACTCAACACTGCACGCCCACGGACTCGGCAGGACTATATTAGATCCTGTCGCCTCCACAATCCTATACAGTTATTAGAAATACAACTTCACTATGAGACTTGCGTACCTCCCGCATACAGCCTTTCTCATTGCCTTTACACAAATCTTGGTGTACAGAGTAGCAGCCAACGACCCACGAGCGCGATGTAGGTGACACTGCCTTAGGATAGAGCAGAAACTGATATATCAAAGGGCGAGAAGCATACCCAAGCTGGGAATCGTATACCCCACCGACGGGAAATAGCACGCAATGGCTGATGTTGACGGGCGTCAACTCAAGTGTTACTTCTGCGACGATGACCAACTTTACGACCGCCGTGAAAGACATGACTTCATTCGCCTCCTCAACAACACTACAAAATTCGTCCGCAACTTCTCCCATAACCCTCCTTACCACCACGTCCTCCTCGTCTCCCCCCTCTAAGCCCACACTTCCCCTAACCTTCCAAATCACAATCTCCTCCGCCCCCCAACACACCGGCCAATGATACAGCACCTACATCGCCTCGGACTTAACTACACATCTCACATCGCACTGCCGCTCCTCCAGCCCCACCTGCTCGAACTCGTCCTCAAAATACGACAACATCGAATACTCCACTTCCACCGGCTATGTCGAAAAAGGCACTTCCTACGTCTCCGTATCCGTCAGTAGCTCGCACTTCCCCAGCAAACAAGAAGCAGGCGGCTACGACACCAAAGCGCTGCGAAAACAACTAATCGACCAAGTCGCCGAAACATATAAACTCGCCACCGAAGATGCGAAAAATTGCTACTGGTTCGACAGACGGTCAACCAAATGTACGTTTTGTAAGCTTTGTATTCCGGATGGAAGGGATAGGGTGGTCAAGTGGTGTAACAGCCCAGAACATGTGCGTGTGGCTTTGAGGGACGAGAAGATTGGGAAGGAGGTAGCGCATTTGCAGGTGCAGGTCAAATTTACGGGGGTGACTGATCAGGGGGGGTTTGATTGTGAGGCGATCAGGGAAGCGGTGGGGAAGGGGGCGGAGAAAGAGAGGGTGGGGGAGGTGGTCAGGGCGTTGGGGGGAGGGTTGCGTGTGATGGGCAGGGTGTGAGGGGGAGTTGTCCGAATGCGGAATGTACGTATAGGTTGGGGCTTTGTTTTAAGGGGAAGAAGAGTGGGTAGAGAGGGGAAGTGGGGTGGTGTAAGAAAGTAAATTATTTTGTTTGCGTCGAAATATGTCTTTAAAGAGATGGCTTCTTCATGTGTGGAAACACATGGTCCAAGTCACCACCAGGGTCCGTTTTCGTCGCGCCAGGACTTGCCACAGGTGCCATCTTTTTCGAGTCTGGATCGTCTGTTGGCTGGGGTCCCGATGCAGACTCTTTCGTATCCTTATCCTCCTGTTTCCTTGCTAGCTTGTTATCCACATGATTGTCCAGCCAGTCCTGCTGTGCCTTGCCCAATCGCAGATTCTCCTCCACCTCCCTTGTGAGCTTCTCAACCTCGTCTTCGAGAAGCTCGTCACGGCTCTTCTTGACGGGCTCCTTGGGTGCCGCATCTTCAGCCGGTGCGGTGGTTGCCCATAGCTCCTCCAGTTCTTCCAACCAGCCACAGGCCTCGGCGAGCTTCCTCACACCACTATCACAAGCCTCTAACACCAACACATCATCCGCTCGTCCTCCTAAATCGCCCACTTTCTCCTGATTAATGAGCAAGCGCGGTGTCTCATCTTCGCAGAGCTGCGGCAGCGATGCAAACGGGTGTACGGAAAGCGAAGTGCCCATGACTATGGCTAGGTCGGCTTGCGAGGGGAGGTGACGGTTATCGAAAAAGGCAGACGGCAGCTGCTCGCCGAAGAAGACGATTTCGGGCTTGACGAGGCCGTTACAGGAGGGATCAAGACAGTGGGGCACTGTTTTGGTCTCTATCGCCTCCTGCATGCGTTCCTTGGGGTATGACTTCTTACAGTCGATGCAACATTGTCTAGTACAGTCAGTACATTCCATGTATCCTGCGATATCCTATTACTCACGTCGCGAAACTCCCATGCGCCTCGATAATCTTATCGCCTGGTACGCCCGCCTCACGCTCCAGGCAGTCGATGTTCTGTGTGAATAGCTTCAACAACAGGCCCTTCTTGTGTAGTAGATATATGAACGAATGTGTTATCGTTGGTCGGAACTTTCCGGGATATAGTTCCTGAGCGAGAGCGTAGAAGGGTTCGGGGTTGTTGCGGAAGAAGCCAATGTCGAAGACGGCCTCAGGGTAAGGCAGGTTAAGACGCGCGAGATTCGCATATAGACCTGTCTCTGGGGATCGGAAATCTGGTATTCCAGCCGACGTACTTATTCCTGCGCCTGTCTTTGCCGTATCAGCACGTGTTTACTCAATTCATCGGACCAGCCTACCATGACGACAATCTTCTGCGCGCGGCCATCCTTGATGTACTGGGCGAGTGCCTCCAAAGTGCGCTCCTGAAGCGTTCTTGGTGGCGCATCTGCCTCTATCACTCTCGACTCTTCCTGGCCCATCTTTCCTCGTTTGCCTTTGCCTTTGCCTTTGCCCGTGCCTTTGCGTCCCTCTTCAGCGTTGCGCCACGGCCTGTCCTGCTGGGCCTGCTGGCGATGGCCTTTGTGCTTTCGCCCTATGTTGATGGAGATAAGGCGGCGATTAAGGTAGACGGAGAGATGACAAGGTGCAATTGCCTTGGCCGTGGAACGAATTGGTTGGGCATATGACATGCAACGCCTGCGCGACGTTGTACGCGACCCCGCCAGATTATTTCTCGGTGGTCCGACGCTCCTGCTGCGTCATGCCAAGACCATCAACATGCTTCCTTTTTGGGCTACTACCATCTTCTAATCCGCAGCCATCATGGCTTCTTCATTGCATCCATCATAAGGATGCCATTTGGTCGAGTTGGGTATGAGCATAGTGAAGATTCAGCCTCTTCCACATTAGGGTTGGAAGTAAATTATGGACGAGCCCCAAGCCCCTGCACACCCTGTCGCTTTGGTCTCCTACTCGATGTAAGCCAATGCTTTCCATGGAGCTTTCAATAGCAGGCGACTGGTACGTACGGGCAGGGGTTTTGAACAGACTGTTTAGATCCATGTCGTGAGTTAATGTCTGTAGAAACGCACAGCCAACCTTCATCACCCCTCACCACAAATCCTCCAGCACAGCAGTCACCAAGAGAAGATACAACATGGCACAAGTTACGGACCTTCCACAAGAGTTGCTCGATTACGTATTCAAAAGCCTCAAACCTCTCGATATCCTCAACGTAGCCGAAACATGCAAGACACTACACGCGGCTGCCCTACCAGCCATCTACCATACTATTGTCATGAGGTGGGAGATACGCAGGGATATGGGTCTCGGTACCGAAAGGAAGGATTTGAGTGACTCGTCCAAGGCCCATGATGAAGAAGCCATTCATCGGGATAATTTGCCAGGTCCAAACATACAGCTCTTACTCCGGACGCTGGCAGAAACCCCCAATTACGTCAAGCTCGTCAAAAAGCTGGACTTTCGAGCAGCCCACTGCACCTTCTACGATGATGACGGCTCAATCCGCAGGTGTTTTCCTAATAGTAGCATAGAGCTAACTGGTCAAGAGCTGCGTAACGACATGTTCAAGCGCTACGTGCGGGCGGAAAAGTACCCACCACCCCATCGCTGGTTGGAAAAGAACAAGCTACTTATAATCATGGCTATGCTGATCGTAACTTGCCACAAACACCTTGAGTCACTGTCCATCTCTGCCGACTTCCTGCTCAACAACGAATGGTTTCCCATAATGCTCCGTCATGGGTTCGCCATGAATGCAACGGCACTATCGCCCGAGTGGTTTATTAAATTGAAAAGCATGCGCGTTATATTGGAGCATTGGGATCGAGAATCAGGATATCTCTACAATCGGCCGCCTATGCCGTGGTCTATCGAGTTCAGAAAGATCCAAAAGACTTTGCTACTTCTTCACTATCTACCCGCTGTTGAGACATTGGAGCTTTCTGCATTTGCGGATAGGCGTCTAGGTCATAATATAGCACTGTGGAGGAAGAAGAGAAAGCAGTCACAGAAGCCCTTTTGGCCTCTGGACAACAAACCACGAGCTCTCTGTCTGACCACGCTAAGGCTCAAACAGTCATCTTTGGCCCTACACACTCTCCAGAAATTGCTTGAACACGCACCGTTGGTCAACGTTTTGGAGCTCGAATTTTATATGCATCACAAACATGCCCCACTGAGGTTGGTCGAGCTGTCTAGGGCTTTGCGGTGCATCCGCCGCACACTCCAACACCTAAAGATACGTGCGATTTTCTTCAAGGACATGTTTCCCAACCACAGCCCGCACGTAGAGGTGAGCAGAATACTCAACAGCATGGGTTCATTGCTGCGCGGCTTCCCTGCGCTCACCACGTTGGAAATTCCCCTCTCAGTGCTCATCGGGGCAGACTACATCACAACCGGCCCACGGCCCCGACTCGGCGATCTTCTCCCCCCTTCGCTCACCCATCTAACCCTGAATTACGATCTTAACATACCATCCTTTGCAATCCAAAATGTCATGCCATACTTCCACACATATCTAGCGGGTGAGGAGCTTCTCAGAAAAACGTGGGTCAAAGGTCACGAGGCAGACTGAAAACTGGCTACACCATTCCTACAGAGATTCACATTGGATCTGAGCTATCGCGAGACCTGGTGTGTATGGGACTGGAAGGACCTCGAAGACAAAGCGGTCCCTGTGTTGCTGGATATGTGTAAAGCATAGGGTATCGATGGCGTGGTGCTTTTTGACGACGATGATGGTGGGTACGGGACAAGTGTACATGCTAGTTCAACAGAGGTCGAGCAGGAGGTTGAAGATGCTATTATCCAGGAGCTGGACCGTGTTGATCTGGAGACTTGTGAGAGTAGTCCGATGCCATTTGGACCAGACGACGACGAGGAAGAAGAAGAAGAAGAAGACGACGACGATGGCTCCGCTGGCTATGCTTCGTCAACTATAGCGGATTGGGAGTTGGATGGACGACCTGAATCAGAGCCAAGCGACTTCTATGATTATTATTTTACAAGCAGCGGTTCAGATGGTTCCGACGAGGGATAAGATGCTTTCTATTCCAGGCGAGGATGTGAACATGATTTCAGAGTACGAATAACCTATCCTGAGACTAGCGCTCTCAAAGTACCCAAACCAAGCCAATTCTCCAACCGCCATACCCACCCAGTGCCTCTAGTAATTCGTAGTTTGCCGATCATCTACCAAACATGATTAGTCAACCAAACATCCTACGCCATTTGCAATTCCTACATGCACGCCAAAAAGATAAGGAGAGGGAAATGATCAAACTTACAATTCGCGCCCATGGCCTTCCTCAACTTGAGCGTCACAGCCTCGGCATCCAAATCCTTCTTATCCCCCGTCTGTATCTCAACCGCATACGTCCTAATCACCTGCTTGACCTGGCCGCTCTGGAAGCTCATTTTGGCTTTGCGCATGACTTTTGTTTGGGGGCCTGCATTCAAACAGTCAACACACACACACCAAGGGCTTTTGGATTCAACAAAAGCGATTAAGCGTCGCTTATGGGAAGAACGGAATTGGGGACAAGGTAAAGGAGAGAGGGGAACATACCCTGCCACACCACAAAAGCAAACTTGACACGTTCGCTATACTCGTCGTTGCCGAGTTTCATGCGCACGTAGGCGTAGGCTGCTTCATCGTCGCCGAGGCTTTGCGTCATTTCGGCAATGTCGCCCGTGCCTGTGTTGGCGAGGGTGAGGTTGTCGGATGTGGCTGATGCATACTGAGTAGGTACAGTCAGCATCAATTTCACATCCAGCTCGACGGTCCCAGACAGCAAATGCAGCATATAGTGAGTTGAATGGCTTCGGGATGTTGAATGTAAAGACCACGTGGCACATGCTTTTTCTTGTTTTTTGTTTCTCGCAGTTGTCTTGATGTTGCCAGCGATTGAAAAGTACTCTTTACACGTGCAGCAATTGTGCATGTATAGCGGTGACCGCCAGAACTAAGCATACATACATGGAAGAAAACAACATCAACATACCTTTAGAATCAACCACGTAGTCTCCGACTTATCCGACCTCACATCCTCATACGCCTGCGCGATATCCGGGTCATTCAGGATATCAGATGGAGCTGGCATCTTGTCCCCGTGATTCCCTTAGGTAGGTATAGCTTCAAAGTTCACACCGTTCAAGCTTCCTCTCACACAGTCCTGCTCTTAACGTGTTCAATGCCTGCTCAACAGACAACAACGACGGGGATATAAACGGCGCGCGCGGGAGCTGGGCGATGGAGCGACGACAAGAGCAGTAGGAAAAAGGTAAGAAGCCACGATGAAGAAGTTGGGATGCAGCGCGTGGCAGGGACCTAGTTCCGGTGTTGGGCGGCGTGCATTAGCGGGAGTGCACTAGTGCGGGGCTGGAACGTTGTGGTTTTTGTGGCCAATGGGCGGGCCTGGGGCGGGGTGGGAGGGCTTTTGTGCAGGTGTGGTTAGCTTCGGTTTGGGTCAGGTGCGAGGGTTATGTCGGTGAGCGGTCTGGTTCTTGGAATAGGAAGTTTTGTGCATGGGTTTTTTTTGTTAACAGCGATCTGATTGTGAGGTTATTTTCGTTTACTGGCTTTGCTTTGGAATAGCTTGACTATGTCTTCATGTCCTGCTTCACTAGCCCACTTCGCAGCTGTCTTCCCTTGTATCTTGATATCCTTCTTCGCTCCTCTGCCTAGTAGCAGCTTGACAATCTCGCCATGGCCCTTCATCGCCGCTATCGCCAGCGCAGTGAAATCCTCCCTCTCTTGCTCCTTATGGACACTTATGCACTGAAAGTCGATTTGGGCTTTGACTTCTGCGTCCGATAGCTGTTCTAAAAGGACTTCCATGACTTCTGGTCTGCCCAATTCGGCGGCTACGTGGAGTGCGGTGATCCCGAAATTTTCGTATTGTATTCTTGCTCCCTTTTGTAAGATTAGCGTAAGGTATTCGATTTTGATCTTTGTGACGACGCTGTGGAGGACGAGGTTAAGTGCTATGCCGCCGTCAACAGAGCCTTTGTTGATGGTGAATGTGGGTCTGTCGAGGAGTTGCACCAGCGTGTCTATGTTGGGATATGCGACTGCTACCTGTAGAGGCGTCATGCCCTGTATATCCTTCAGGCAGACATTTTCGTCCGTTATCAGGAGCTTGACCATCTCTGGGCATTTGTTTTCAAGGGCTCCGCATAGAGCACTGATGTTGGAGATTTTCAGATGGCGGATGGCTTCATCAACTTTTCTCGTGCTGAGGAGATTTCTCAGAATGGTCTTCTCGTGGCGTAATGTAGCATAGCAGATGATCTTTTCGACGGTGTTCTCGGGCCGAGTTATCGTCAGCAATAGGGTCTGGACAATGTCCCAGCGGCCAACAGCAATCCCCCATTTGATGAATTCTGTATCGCTCCATAGGAAGCTGACCTTACTCTTGCTTATCAACAAGTTAATTGCAATACTAAGTAGCTCATTATTCCCACTTCTGGTAGCCCGGCCTAGAATGTTGTATGTCAGTTCCTGTCCAAATTCTCCAAGTTTGTACTTTTGGTAGACCGCTTTGGCTATTTGTATTGTTGAACCTGCAGCGAAGGCTACGTGTATTTTGGCGATTAACACGCCGGCGTTGAGAAGAGCGTTTACCATATGAGCATCATCCTTTAAAATGGCATAGCTAAGCGGATTCTGCTCAAAACAATCGTAATGTTCTAGAGACATCTCGAGCTGCTCCTTTTTATCGCTTTCGAGAGCTCTATCGAATAGCGCGTGAAAGCCGAAGTATGTAAAGATATTCATAATGGTTGTGTGAGGAAATTGCAAGATGACCCTGAGGGGGATCCAATGCACCATTTGGACATAACATGACCACCATTTGTTGATTGTCAGACAGTTCTGCGAAAAGGTAGTCACAAGCTTGTTCAGCATCGACTCTGTTGAATCCTCTGAGGTTTCAACGTGCTCTGCCCAGTATTCAATCGCGTAGGCTAAGTCGGGTTGGATCGTGTCCTTCCAATCTTGGTAGTCAAAATCCAAGACCTCCATATCAATGCAGGCGAGTTCAGCGCTGAGTATTTCCAGGCATTTGTGCGCAAGTCGTGAATGGATACTGGTGTTGTTCTCCAAGGCAGAATACTGAAACCATGTATCGGAGTTACAGAAGACCACGAGCTTGGCTGGCGTGATGTGAATGGAAGGTCGACACGACTCAAGACGTTGCTTCAGCTCTTGGTATGTTCCTTCCAATACCCATTGTAGCTGCTCTATTGTAGGAGGTTGTCGGTATGCAGCGACATGGGCCAATAGGTCTCGATTCGCATCCGACTCGCGATGGTCATCGATTTTGATCATCAATTTGGGCGCCACATCATCAACAGTACCAAGCTGAGCAGAGTCGAGTGGCTTTTTATTATCGACATGTACATCAAGATTGATATGTGACCACTTACCACGTGTGGGTTGGCCGCGACTGGTGACAAGTACCTTGATTGGCAGGCTATCTTCCGTGCAATCTTCGCGCGGCAATTCTCGGTCGAAAATATAGAGCAGATTCTCAATACTTCGATCATCAAGTTCGTGGAGCCCATCAAGAATACAGTAGGTGGTTCCCGATTTTTCGCCTTTGAGTGCAATTCGGAATAGATCCCATGTTACCACAGGTCTCTCCAAGGAGAAATATCGTTCGTCGTAGGTTGAAATCAGGGAAGAGATATACTCGGTTAGATATGGTCGCTGCTGTATCAGCTGGTGGAGCCAGGTCTTTAATACGGAGGCTGCATTGTTTCGCAATCGATCGCCTCTAGTGCAGAAACAGTACAATACTTGGATATTTGTACCTGGGTGCGCTTTCATATGTTGTAATTCTTCGAGAACGCTCAGTGTAGACGATATCCTGGAAACTTCAGACCGCGATAAGAGTTGGAGCCGAGCGTTTCGACGGCCAAAATCGAAACTAGATTGGCTGTTAGTTGTTCCTATCTTGGAATTCGACGCCTGATCTCCATGTGTAGAGGTCAATGACGAGTTACTATCATTACGATTTGGCTGCAAGAATCCTAGATGCTTAGAATCTCCTTGACTGGCCCAAACTCTGAACTCGTTCAGAGTGAGGAGCCCTCTAGCGCTCTCTAGATCATGATGCATTTTCTTTAGCGTTTCTAGGTGTTGCGATTGGTCGTATCGTTTAAGAAGCAGTCGACCGATACTGGTAGGGATGACAGTGGTTGCCTCTGATGATGGAGTGGCATCACCATAAGCTGGGTATGGATTGTTTAGGCGAAGGCACCACTTAGGACTAGCAATTTCAGAGGCACTTGAGGGCATCTTGGAATTTGGTAATCTTGTAGCCTCACAGGGGGCTTAGTAGCGCCGCTATATACCTTGCCTATAGTTTTACTGTACGATTGTTTTCCTGCGGCATGATGAACATGTGCTTTGCCATGCACACCACAAACTGTGTGCCAGTGATGGAATCGGGCTTGCTGGCACACGAACCCCTTTTTTCGTCACGGGGCTCATTGGCGTAGGTTCACATGCGTTGTTATGGTGACATGGGGTACAATCGACCTCCGCGGACGTGTCCTCACGTGAGGGCGCGACCAGCGCTGTATGGCTTCGGGGAGCATTGCCGTAGCGATTAGCCAGACTGCAATGAACATAGGGGCCGACGCAATAAAACAAGCCAAAAAGGCTAACGGGAGAGGTAGGTGTAGAAAATAGCAAGGTTGGTAGCAGGGTTCCAGGTACGAGATTAAGGTGAGGTGGTAGAGGCGCGCAACACGCCGCGGAGGCTCACGGGTGTTCTTTGCTGCTTGATGCGCGACAATGATGCGCAAACAGGACAATGATCTTCAGCATGGGCGTAGAGTGCGTGAAGACGTGCCGAGGTATAGGCAGCGAGAATAATGTCGTGATAGGTGCGTGGTGTGATTATTCGTATAGAACAGCCTCCCGATTAATGAGATCCCAGCCCCCATCAGCAATTGCATCATGGCGTCGTAGGCCGCCTGCGCATGGAGCCGCTGTCAACTCTCAACAAGCGTGCGCCGGCTTCTCCTTCACTCCTTGCTGGCACATGGGCATTCGCACAATTGCATCTTAAATCCCACTGCTTTTTCCAAGTGCGTGCATCATCGCCGCTGGATCTACTTCCCCCACAGCTAGCGCCCGACATCTCCGGACAACAACACAGACAGGCAGGGAACTGCCGTTCCCCCGGACGACGGCGCCCAAACAAGCCAACCCTCAGCACGACGGCATTACTGTCAGCGCGCGTTCTCGTGACCGGTGTCACATAAGTTACTGCCATATACACAATGCCTGTTCTACGTGATACCTACAGTGGCCTTGCGGCGCAAATAGACGGTATCGCGCCTCGCGACAGCGGCCTCAACCCACGGCAGCCTGCTATCAACATGCCGGCAGTTGCCTTCAATGCGCCCCAAACAGCGCCAATGGCCAAGCGACAGAACATCATATACACCCAGCAAAGCATAATACCCACCTACTACGACCTCTCTGGTCCTGAGCCCGGTACCGTCGTGGGCATTGTTCTGGGCAGCGTTGCCGGCTTCCTCCTAATCTGCTGGCTGCTGCAATCGCTCATGAACACAAGCAACAGGACTAGAGCAACAACAGCAATGGCGGGAGAAGAAGAGATTGTGGTTCGGAGACGGCGCAACTCACAGGGCGGTCGGTCCTCGCGTCGCCGGTCGGCAGAAGTGCGCGAAGTCAGCAGGAGCCCAAGGGCGTCCAGCGGCCGGTCGCGCATCATCGTGGAGGAGGCGAGGAGGCAGCCGACAAGAGCGAGGAGCATCATTGTCGAGGAGCGACATCGCGTACCAGGTGACGACGTGGTCGAGGTTATCGAAGAACACGATGACTACCGCGAAAGGAGAGGCAGCCGGAGAGGCCCAGGCTATCGGTAAGAGACTGAAGCGCTACTCGAAATCTCGCTCTTGTACTAACACATGCAGGTGAGCAGATACTGACACGCCGTCTCGTCTTACGCCATACGTACGAAAAGTCCCATCAAAAATATTATTACACCCGACGACTCCCAGCCGCCAGCGCACCACGTATACCCCCGAATACCCAATTGTCCCAATCGCCACGTATATATATTCTTTGCTGTCCTTCAATACCACATTCCCCATGCTTGGTGTTCAGGTAGCGCTTTAGAGCGCAAGGTTGTAAGCTACGAAGAGGAAATAACGCATTACGGGCTATGAATAGCGAGTTGTGTGTCAATTTGAACATGTGAACAATGATAGAGATAGTGTTCTCGTACGATTACATATGTAATAACACCGGAATGATTTCGTAGTACCTACAGTTTGCATAACGTGAGTACTCAGGTGACGGACATGATTTCACGCAATGTCACCGCCGCGTCTTCGAGCATTCCACAAGGCGTAGTTGACATGTGCGCCTTGCTTCTTTCGGCTAGTACTGTACCTACCTAGCGCGACTTCCATGTTGGGGCGCCGACTTAGGCATTGTCCTAGTTCCCCGCAACCTTCCAACCTCCCATGAAAGAACTGTCCAGGTGCCCATCAACATGAATCACACAACTGAAACTTCTGCTGGCGGTATTGATCCGTTCTTCACATGCCGAAATCACCATCTCGGTTCCGATTGCGTCTTGGATGATGCCAGTTTCGCGGCCTTGTCAGAAGCATTGACAGAGGCGAATACAGTGTCTTCACAACATAATGACCGTTGGTTTACCGATACCCCGCTTCGAAACCTCTCGAATGATTCTACAGCTTCTTCATCCCCTTTTACACCAGGGTTGTCGATATCAAGACCCAAGCTTGGCAGTCGATTCTCTAGAGAAGTCATCCGCACTTTGAAAGACTGGCTTGCAGCACATGAGCAACATCCATACCCCAATGAAAGCCAGATGGAATCTCTCCGTAATCGAACCGGGTTGAACAAAGCGCAGCTGACCAATTGGTTTGCAAATGCTCGTCGACGGGGTAAGGTGCAGAGTGTTCGACCCACGTCACCTCAAGTCCATACTACGTCGACCCCGATCGATATCATCCAGCGACCCGGCACACCCGCTGTCAGGGCATCTATGGACTACAAGGACCCCATGCAACGATGGGTGGAATCACCTCCGGAACATGAGCCTGCAGCTGTTGGCGACATTGCTCGCGCTATGGCTTCCCGTGAGTCCCCTACTGCCTACACGTGACTCTGTACTCTTATAGTTGACAATGATTGCAGGCGAGAATGGTTCCGGGCACTTTTCGTACAACCAACCGTGGCAATCGCCTTGCGCGATGTCATCAGCAAGTAGTGCCAGGACTTCCCAGTCCAGCGAATGCTCGGGTCATTGCTCTTCGGGGTCGCAGAAGTCACTCAAAGTACGTCGTGCACCACGTAAGAAGAGAGCTAGCACCAGGCGGTGTCTTGGAAAAGAAACCACCTCACTTGTCACTATGCCATACCAATGCACATTTTGTACTGAGGTCTTCAGGACTAAATACGATTGGCAGAGGCATGAAAAGTCGCTCCATCTTCCCCTTGAAAAATGGATATGTGCACTTCTAGGCCCCCGAGCAACAAAAGAGTCTCCTGGAGAGCAATGCTGCGTCTACTGTGGCGAGACTGAGCCGGACGATGCTCATATCGAAGCGCACCATTATTCGGCCTGCCAAGAGCGGAATCTTGAGGAACGCACGTTCCACCGCAAAGACCATCTTGTCCAGCACCTTCGTTTGGTGCATGGTGTTGAATTCGCCGAATGGTCAATGGCCCACTGGATGCTACCTATACCTGATGTTCGATCTCGTTGTGGATTTTGTGGCACCATCATGGATACGTGGCTAGAGAGAACCGATCATCTTGCGGATCACTTCAAGTCCGGCGCTACAATGGCCAGTTGGCAAGGCGACTGGGGATTTGACGACTCTGTTACGCGCTTGGTGGAGACTGCTATTCCCCCAGGTAGGATTTGATTTGCAATGGAGCTCATGAACATAACTAAAATTCATTTAGAGCTCATCGATTGGGAAAGAAGTACACTCATCCCGATGAAAGGTAGCGACCCGTCATGGGGTACTCCACCAAACGCGTACGAACTGCTCAAGATCGAGATTGAATTCTTTATTCAAAGAACTTACGACAATGAGGGGCATTTGCCTGATAACGATGCCATACAGCTTGAGGCGTGTCGCATCATCTTTGCAGCCGAGACAAGCTCTCCCACAACTACTACTGCACCCCACGATATTTCATGGCTGCGAGACTTGATCATGTCATCTCCGGGAATCACTGAGCGTGCTAGATTCCAGCCCGTACGAACTTCCCGCGAGAGCAGGCATTTTCCATTGAGAATACTTGCCAAAGATCATTTGTTCGAGCAGTGCCCCATGGAGGCACATCTACAGGACTTTGTTTTGAGACAGAAAGTAGCGGGTGCAGTGTTAGACGACGCACAACTACATCACGAGGCATGCCAGATCGTAAGGCAGATGGAGCAGGAATCGAGTACACCATCCGACGTCTTTGCCAATTGGATCGTCAAGGGAATCTATTCGGGTATGGACTGGCTTTCAAACTTTAAGAAACGAGCAGCAATTTGCGAAACTGTTGGTATGACAGACCTAACCAACGAGTTCAACTTGGACACCATCTTCGAACCATCATGGTCACGACCATCTCCGTTAAAGCCTTCAGTGGCACCGCTTGATACTCAATTCCCAGCCCAAGACGTTCCTGATATCTTCTCACCACTGCCGACTTTCTCAGAAGCACCTACCGTCGCATCTACATCAGTAAATCGAACTGACGTTCATGGTCGATTGCGGACGTTGCTTCCGGACGACACTAATTTCTACCGCATTTTCGACAGCGACATGCGACGCTGGGCAGCCTCAACACTATCACCGAAGAACCCAAACTGCCACATACCCTCTGACGAAGAAATCCAGCACCAAGCACGATGGATCATGTACGATGGCGACGATCCGTGGAACCAAACACCCGCAGACTTTCCGAGTTGGCTGTGGCGGTTTAAGAAGGATGTTGGGATTGCGACGGATGCTGAAGTTGTAAATCCTCATGAGCTGGCTGTTCAGCCGGATTGTAACTAATCCAAATTTCTGCCATAAAGCTGAGTTATCGCTTGTATCATTGGCTGTCATTGAGGGACGGTAATTTTGCGTGGTTCGCTGTTGGGTAGACCGTGGACTGTACCATGGATCGAAATCGGAACTAAATTTAAATCATTATTCTAAGCCCACACCCACTCAATTTCAATGTGTTATCATCAACCTGCACGATCAGCTGCAAAGATGGGGGGATATTCTAACATCACAGATCCGAACAGTACAGACGAAGGTACGTTGAACTATTTGCTTGGTCAAGGTACCAAATGTGTGCTAACCCCGCTAGGGAAGATCAAGCTTCAGCCTCAAAGTCCTCTCCTCCGACTATCAGCCGAGCTGCGAAACATGATCTACCGTTTCCTGTATTCCGAAAAGGAAGACATACACATAATACTCCCTAACCTTCAGGGTACTGCAAGACTGCGGCAGTTACTCAAGCTCGCCACCCTACGACACGTATGCCGACAGCTCCGTCTGGAGACAACTGGAATGGGCCGTAACATTGTCCCGCATCAGGATCTCAGCGCAATGCATTCTTTCTTCCTCGACAATCTAAAGCTCGTCCTTTTCCGCACCTATGGTGCACAACTGTTCACACGCTTTCCCCAAGATACATATATCCAAGTTTCAATATGGCTGTGCCATCTAAACCCAGACTCGAAGGTACATGTTCTTGCCGATATCCTCGAGTTTCGACTAGGAATGCGCGCTATGCTAGCCCAGGGTGCGGCATTACAGCGTGTTTTACGGGATCGTCCGCTGCCGTTCACCATGGACCCTCACTTTGACAAGGAAGTGGCAAGCAATGTGAGAATCTTTAAACTCCTTCTATCCACGGCAGAGGAATGGCAGCATATACCTGATAACTTACGGGTGTATCCGCTACAGCAGCTCAACGAGGAAGAGCTGGAGTGCTCGGATTTGAAGAAGGAGAGTTATTTCAAAGAGTGGGCCGAGCAGATTCACGAGTGGTATACGAATGGGATTTGAGTGAGTGTAGGGTGCGTACAGATGTAAGGGATCTCAGAGGGTGTTACTAGCGACTCTTGAGTCTGCTGGGGAGATATGGGAGGGGATGATGCTAGGCCATGAGTATATCTGGGCGTTACAAGAGCAGCCAAGGTTTCTCTTTGAGTATACTAGATGTATACAAATATTTGCCAATCATCTTTAAAATCGAAAACGACACTATGTCTACTCCTGGGCTATGATATTTTTTCATAAAACAGTTGATAACCACGAGAGACTACCTAAGAATGCAGCTGTAAGAGTGACGTCAGTCCCAGAAAAGCAACACTGATAACACGGAGAGGGAAGGTCATCGGCTTTCTATAGTCACTTTCCACAGATGCGATTCTCGGAAGTGCGATGGACGGGTACATGTTGGCTAACCCACCCAGTTCGTAATTAGCGACACTCGGCGCTAAGTCATCCGCATTACCCCAGAACTCCCTTCTCCACACCCCGTCCGCCCCATCCAAGTGCAAGACAGATTCCGCGCGCACTCGTCTTTGGTCGCATTTGGACAGTAATCTTTTTACTCCACGAATTTTTTCGATGCTGCAGTTCACACAGAGCACATCGCGCTCGCAGCCATGTCACTTTCGCGGCTCCAATGTGACATTCACGGCGACATCGAGCCGCACTGGGGTAGGCCCGACCCTTACCCGAACAAGCATGCCACCCGACAAGCGGCAGCTTTGGCGATGAACGACTCAAGCATGTAGTCACGGCAGTGTCAAAGGAGGCGGTACATTAGGCAAAAAGAACGGCTGTCGGCTCTTTCGTCACGGGACTACATCATTCATTGGCGGATCTGCACCTCCTTGAAGTCGAGCTTCTCCACAGCCGGGATAAAGGTGTCCGAAGTAAACAGTATAAGAGGCCTCGCGCCCCATGGGGTGGCACAACTGGTTGGCTCTCCCAGGAAACCGGCGACACGCTACTAGCAAACTCGAAACTGAGCGACCCTTTCGCTCGTGATATCCTCCCAGGTGGTTGACAAGATGTTGGGAGATGTCTCATCAAATCACGGTACGTTCACTTAAAGCAACGCAGCACATGCACGCGACTCTTTCGGTATGCGTCTGCTGTTGCCCATGGGGATTTAGGCTAACAATAACAGTTTGTCTGGAGACATTGTGAACGGATCTCTCCACCTCCGCGCGACCGTTATCATCCCACATCCCACACGATGCCGTACCACCTACCGGTGACCCCTCGGTTCTCCGAACATTAGCCGGTTTCAATTTTTCTCCAAGACGCGGGTATCGGCATACGTCGCAAGATTGATCGCTCGATGCTGTCATTGTGCTCCACCGCGGCCCTCTTTTATCGAATTCTTCAGGCACCGTGCATCAGATTTTTCTTCCCTGCAGCGCGTTGCGGGCCGCTAGCGCTGTAACCTCGGAGTCGGAGATGAAGCCCTCATTGTGCGTCGGCCAAGACCGGCGTCCATAGGAAAACCTGCCGATACAATATTATCGACACCACCGAGACACGCGAAAGAACTTGCAAGGTCCACAACTCTGTTTTGTTGGCTATCTGATCTTCTCAAAGGCATACCCACACTGCGAGGCGTGGCGTTTTCTACAGGAGCACACAACTCGCCGCACCGTATAGAGAAACCATGGCGACCTGGCAGGCTTGCATAAGTCACCGAGGAATTTTCGATTCGCTGGCGGGCTGACAGACTTCCGAGCCCGAGCATGGTCGTTCAACAAATTGAGGCTCTGCGGTAACTAACGATGACGGCTACGTCCGTGCACGCAACTCGCCTCCCAGTTGGCTTGGTCACCCGACACGCTTGTTCGCCTCGTCCTGCATCGCAGACGCGTCTATGTCCCTTGCATACGTTATGGGTCCAATTCGATGGTGCCAAACTCTCCAATTGGCTGGATGCGTGAACTCAAGACGAGTAACGCGGTTGCAAAGGGTTGCCCATAATAGAGTCAACCATAGAACTCCATCTCTCCAGCCATGCAGACTGTAAGAATATACCCCGCCCATCAGTCGGACACGATGTCATCACCCCTTGTACAATACCTCCGAAGCACCGCCTGCAGAACAAAGAAGAGCCTTGCCTCTCTGCAATGCTACCAGTGGGCCCACCGCCGCACTATCACCGTCCGTGCGTTCTGCGCCCATCGACGTTCCGACATTGAGCGATTAGAAAATTTCACAACCGGCAGACTTCCGGCTGAAGCGCTCTCGTGAGAGGCTGCCCCGTGGACAGTTACAGCTTGACGATGCGATGTCATCATGCGTCCCGTGGCCTCGGCACTTGTCCAATGTCTCCTTTCTGCTTTGCCTCCACGCCTAAGTTATTCCAGAAAAACTTGATAGTGTGGGTGTGCGGATGAAACTGCCACGGGGGCTCCACTGTCAGTAGACCCTCTAAAACCGTCTCCGCATATTTCTGTTGTTTATAAACAGTCCGGCCTTCTCCTTTGAATCCACACTGGTCTCCTCTTCTCCAGCTTCTCTCCAGCCCGTTTTACTTTGAGAAGTGTACCCCACGCTGCGGACCAGCTATTACCTCCGCTTTTAATCAAATTTTTATTTATTCACTCTTCGCCCATAATGACGGTCTTATCACGATTCCTCAACAAGAAGACTACTGAGGATGTTCACGAGAAGGGAACACCCGACAGTGTCACTCCTGCAGGCACTCCTCCCAGGGGTAACTCAGATACAGTGCAGGCCACAGACCTCGAGCCCAAGGGCCGAGTACCTGCCATCTCCATCATTCTGGGAGCTGTTGCCAGTATTGGTGGCTTCATGTTCGGATACGAGTCTGGACAGATATCTGGTTTCCTTGAGATGGATGATTTCCAGAGCCGCTTCGGTGAGAACGGCAAGTTCTCTGCGGTACGCTCTGGTGCCATTGTCGGTCTTCTTGCGTAAGCTTTTTCCCCAATTAATGAGAAACGCGCCTAACATCTCACCAGCGTCGGTACCCTTTTCGGGTGCTTGGGCTCAGCGCCTCTAGCTGACACCTTCGGTCGTCGTCTCACTATCTCCGGTTCTGCCTTCTTCTACATCATCGGTGTGATTATCGAAATCACTAGCAAGAATGTCTGGGTTCAGTTCGCCATGGGTCGTTTCACTGCTGGTCTCGGTATCGGAGCTCTTTCGACCGTCGTGCCCATGTACCAATCAGAGTCCATCCCGAAGCGTATCCGTGGTGCTACCGTTTCCTCATACCAGCTGTTCATCACACTGGGTATCTGGACTGCGTACATGGTCAACTACGGCACAGAAAAGGATTACAGCAACAGTGCTCAATGGCGTATTCCCAACGGTCTTTCCGCACTATGGGCCATCATTCTCGGCAGCACCATCCTCCTCCTTCCCGAGTCGCCTCGTTACGCATACCGCAAGGGCAACGTCGAAGATGCACGCAAGAACATGGCTCGTCTCAACGGTGTAGATCCCTACAGCCCCTTCATTGACGCCCAGATTGCCGAGATCCAGGAGAAGCTCGAAGCTGAATCTGCTGGTGGTGACCACCCATGGCACGAGATCTTCACCGGTCCTCGCATGCTGTACCGCACTCTTCTCGGAATGGTGCTCCAGGCTGGTCAGCAACTTACTGGTGCCAACTACTTCTTCTACTACGGCACAACCATCTTCGCCGCCACCGGTCTCAGCAACTCTTACGTCACCTCCATCATCCTCGGAACTGTCAACGTCGTAGCAACCATCTTTGGTCTATGGGTTGTCGAGAACGTCGGTCGCCGCAAGGCTATGATGGCTGGTGCCGCATGGATGGCCGTCTGCCTTTTCATCTATTCTTTCATTGGACAATACCAGCTTGATCACGTAAACCCCCTCAGCACACCACAAGCCGGAAACATCATGATTGTCTTCACCTGCCTGTTCATTGCTGCATTCGCTACGACCTGGGGCCCCCTTGTGTGGGCTATCGTTGGAGAAATGTATCCGGCAAGATACCGTGCCACCTGCATGGGTCTCGCTGTAAGTGCCCCCATCTTCTCAATCACATCAAATTATTCCATTTCCATTAAAGCATCTCAGCTCACATCAAACAATATACTAATCTGTTATCTTTAGACTGCGTCCAACTGGCTCTTCAACTTCATCATCTCCTTCTGCTCTACCCTCATCACCGACCGAATCGACTACTTCTACGGTCTCGTCTTCGCCGTATCCCTCGTCATCCTCTTCTTCGTCGTCTACTTCTTCATGATCGAGACAAAGGGTCGCTCGCTCGAGGAAATCGACACCATGTACGTCCTCCACGTCAACCCTATTACCAGCGCCAATTGGGACCCGTCCAGCCTCCAAAAGGATGGTTTGGTGGATACCGACAGGCTGCATATGGGTGCTGGAGGCCGTACCTTCAGCAAGGCTGAACAGTCTGGTGGAGGCATCTTGGAGCCTGCGGAGAGGAACGAGGTGCAAGTTTGAAATGTTGTAAATCTGAAAGCTGGTGCTTTCCTTTGATTGTTGTTATATTTTTCTTTCACGGCGACACTGGAGCACGCTGGTTATGGCAGCACAGTGATGGGGAAAAGCAAGAAAATTCTTATGAGTTGTAATGTGAGAGAGATGATTAGTTGGTTGTATATGATTGCGATAGGATTGTCGGGTATGCGGACATGAGATAATGTTATGCGCCAATGGCATGTTTTGAAATGATTTTGGGCTCTTCTTTTGCTTGCTTGTGCTTGTTCTTTGCCTGGACGCTTGAGATCAAGCAAAAGCTATCGTATACTACTCCTACTCGTATCTAGTATTTCATAGAAGAGAAACGCGTCGTTTCGTCTATTGCGTTGCGCGTTGTGCGCGTGTATAGATATCGGCGGGTCGCGCTAATCACATATGGCCCTGGGTCGCTGGTGCTCCCCTCCCCCGCGGGTGTAGGGAAAGCTGCGTCCTAGTGTTCAGTACTAGAGATTCCCCATCTGAAACGGACCCAGTGTAACTTCTCATGCTTTTCTCTTGTAGACCTGGCTCTCTTCCCGATATATCGTGTGTTGTGTTTAACCCGTGCCAGCAACGCACGATAACAGCGCGGGCCAGGTCTTTTTCGTCGTCTCTTCTTGTATTACTATAAGGATTGCAATAGGTCGCCTTAAAGGGACAAAGTGGTAATAACTACGAGCTTCGAATATATGTCTCTTGTATTGTTGTATATAGACGTCATTCTTTGCCTATGACGCGGCTGACATTGAAGTGAGCGATGCTTCGTTGTCGTTCTTACATACCAGCGTCAAGTTCTCAAATCCATGTTTTAAAGGGCAATGCCTTCACATTGCAAAACGATTTCTACTCTCCCACAGTTTCCTCTACTTCTCTATTCAGACTGTAGCGTATTTCACATTATGAATGGAAGATGACATTAACAAAGGGTTGCATTCTCATGATACGTAGACACTGACGGTCCTTCACCGATATGCTTTAGCTACCGTTCCAGCTGTGACTTCCATACAGGCGTATTCCCAATCTCTGACTATACTCCACTCCAATCGCATGCTGTGTCAAAGTCTCCCCAGTCTTGCCTCTTTTAACACAAATATTCCTTTGACCCGAGAGCCTTGCTGTGACTTCTCGATTGCAAGCTCAGACACTTTCCTTGAACCCGACAAACAGTTCGGTGTCGACACGCCTCACATAATCCACCTCAAATGCGACTCCCGGGGCTTTTGAAGCAAGCTCAGACTTCAGCCAATCAACCAGAGGTTTGAAAAAGGCTTCAGGGTCAGAGCCGCCTCTACATTCCCTACATTCAAGATCAGGGATTAAGTGGTCACCTACGGCAACAAGTTTGAACGATCGAAGTGCCGGACAATGCATGAGAGCATCTAGGGGATAACACCTCTGAATATGATCGGTGGAGATAAGACTGAGTAACTTGGCCGAGGGGTTTTCGTCTTTGTGAGGGCATGATATGATGAAGTTGAAGTTCTGAACAAACAAAGTGAGGTGCCGGAGCGCTGTGCACCGAGCGGCAATGTCTTCTCCAGCCCAGATACGATGATGAGACTTGGAATCTTTCTTGTCCGTCTCCCTAAAAGAGTTGAAACTGAATTTGGAGTCGGCATACCCACTTCGTAGGTGCCATCTGATATGGTGTAGGAGGGTTAAGCTCGACACAGCGCGGTCGGCATCACCAGATTGCACGCGATCCATCAATGAGGCTATCACTCCTATGCCACTTCCATTAATTATTATGTTGCGGCTTCGCAAGAGAACGGGTACGGATTCTGCGAAAAACTGACGGCTGACGTAGCAGATGGGTGGGAGGACACGCGGTCAGTCGTTTTCCGGCTCGTATCCTGGCCTGTGGACGTGATACCGCATACCTTTGATAATCGCAACGTTTCCTGGAAGACTTTCGAACATGGCTGCGTAAACTATCTCGCGGATCTCTCGGGGAAGCCGCATCAGGCATAGATACAGATGCTCTCCTGGATGGGTGACCATCAATGCCTTGTGGGACTGTACTGCGAAGATCTGGGCTTGTCGTTCTGGTTCACTCAGCTCCGAAAGATTCTGGCACTCGTTGCTGAACAGCCAACGACCGCGCTCCTGCACAAGTCGCTGGGTTGTTTCAGCCTTTGCTTGCATCGCCAATAGATTTTTGGCTGCTTTTTTCCTCTTAACGCATGCTTGTCGCATTTTGATCATAGATTGTTGGACTCTCTGGAAGGCTATCAAGTTGAATATGCGGAACTGGTCCAGGTTCCCAGCGAGTGAGCCTTTCTGCCTTACGTTCAGGCGTTTCCTGGGCTCGTACATTGTTGGATGCTCCAGGTAATGAATTGCGTTCCATGGTTGATGTAGGCGACCTCGAGAACTTTTGCTTGCACGATTGACAGGTGATTGGCTTTCGAGGGTAACGATTTGGTGCGGGGCTCAACGCTTGAGCTCACGCGGGTCCGCAGTTGGTCTTGTTCCTCCTGTATGATAAGCAGAATGTCGTAAGTGGTGGTTAATCGAGCTCGTCAACAAGTTATTGACAGGAGGGCCGGGAAGGTGCAAACTTAAGTACTCGCTAGTGCGTGCAAGCCCCGCTAAAGGTTGCGTGAGGCAAACGGAAGCCTTGGCGGCCAGAGTGAGAGAAAATATAGCAAAGAGTTATTCATAAGCTCTCACTTGTAGTCGTGAGAGCTTTAGAGCGATGATCTACACAGATCTGCTTGGAAGCGACAGAGTTGAGTCTTTGAGAAGCTCTGCTCATGCCCTAGAATAGTTTGCGATGGCGTGAATGGGTTGGGTGTTGGTTGTTGGTCGCACGCAGCCCTGGGGTGACGTAACTCCAGGGTGTACCTCCCTCATAGGTGTACGCTAACCATATCTGGTGATGCAGGTGTCCCAAACCAGTGCACCCTCTAATATCTACTCTGCTCCAATTTCCCACAACACTGCCGATACTCGTCATATTAGGGTAAAGCAATGAAATTCGATCCGATTCACTATATCTTTCGCTTCTGCGTCAAATGATACTGGTGTCTTGCGAATTTCTCAGTTCTGTGAGCCATGACATGTCTCGTCCTTATTTAAACGTAGTAATACAAGTGGCTTTCGTCTATTACACAAAAGGGCAGATATTTGGATAATGGTAGCCGTCTAACTGCAAATCAGTTCAACTTCCGCTCAAAGACATCACAAGACGCAGCATAACTAGGCAGAGATCTGGTTATATATTATTTCGTCTCTTCATCGACAATAGTGAATTATATCCAACTCATTGTGTGATTTGTACGGCAGTAGCCACTTAGAAACGCAGAGTGAACCGCATGTGATTCTGGCGCCGACCATACATGGGCAGCTTAACGCGTTTGCGTAAAACGTTTTAGCTTAAAACGTTTTAAAACGCTTTAACAGCTTAAACTGTTCACGCGTTTAAGAAAATCCTTAAACGCGTGAACGATTTAAAAACGCTATAAGAGGCTTGGCGCCAAGCACCCCACCTTTGCATCTCAAAAACTCTGCAACCACTCCCCACTAACCTGAAATCTCAACAAATCCATTATCTATAGCATCTATTATCGTTATGTCATCGAATACCTTGTCAGCAAGTGCGATATCAACGCCACCGTCGCGAAGACCCGCAACGCCGCCACACTTTGACGCTGTTATACGAACCGAAACTGTCTGTAACACCAGCAATGCAAAGCGCCAGCGTTTGAAAAAGCAGTATGTGTGCAAACGCTGTCGCTCATGGTTTAGCAGTCACCGAGTAAACTCTATCCACCATGTTCTAGCATATCATACAACGTCAGAGTCTTCTCAGCCCTCGCAAACTTCTTCTTCGTCGTCGCAACCAGCTATCACTTCAGTGTTTAGGACTGTCTCTGATCAGACAATTATCCGCAACGCCTTCAATGAACAAGGGTATCGCGATGCGCTTGTCGGTCTTCTGACTCGACGTCGAATAGCCTTTTCATCAATCGAATGGTCTGAAATGAGGGATCTAGCGCTTGCTTGCAATCCATTTATTGAAGACCAGCTTATCACAAGTCGACGTACAGCCGTACGTCTTATCGCCTCGAATTATCAGCTTTATAAAGGCCATGTAATTAAAGGCAGCTTATCGACGGCTGTGAGTCCTATCCACATATCAACAGATCTCTGGACATCACCGTTCCGTTCATCTCTCCTTGCTGTATGCGCACAGTGGGTCGATCACGAATATAAGCTTCAGAAGGCTCTTTTAGGACTGCCAGAATGTCGTTACAGCCACTCTGGAGAACAGCAAGCACACTTACTTCTTCAAACCCTCGAGGAATATGGGATACAGTCTAGAGTTGGCTGGCATACGGGTGATAACGCAACATCTAACGATACCTGTTTGGAGCATCTTGAAACCCTCCTTCGAACTAAGCACAACGTAAGCATGGCTTTTAATATAAAAATCGGCCTTCGCTGCTTAAGTTACGCGATGGTGCTAATATTAACAAGGTTAAATTTACTGCTAAAGAGCGCCGTATCCGATGTATCGGTCATATTATCAATTTATCCTTGCAGGCATTCCTGCTTGCATCCTCTAAGGAGGCTCTTACCGCTGCTCTCGACGCCGTAACGGATGTTATGGGGGAAGAGCTTCTCGCAGAGTTTTCAAGCGTTCTTACTTCTCGACAGAGAAACCCTAGAGCCCAAGCCCAAGCTGTTCCACAAACCTCACAGAGACAAAGGTTGTCTCGCCGAAGACGCAGCGTTGATAGCCATGGGTCTGTTGATGAGGACTTTTGTGGTATTGAGAACATCTCTACACTACGCAAATTACATCAACTATGTGTCTGGCTGCGCAACTCAAGTATACATGCAGCAGAGTGGGATCGCAAGGTAGGCCTCCGCTTAGGGATTGACAATCAGACTCGGTGGTCTTCATGGTACTCAGTTATGGATCGGGCTATTAAGAAGATGGCTGCAATTAAGGTCTTTATGCACGATAACGAGAAACACCTTAACGAGATCCGTCTTACTTCTGACGACTGGGATATACTACAAAAAGCACATACATTTTTACAACCATTTGCATCAGCAACGCTATACGCGGAGGGAGATAAATCGTCTATCTCTCAATCTCTTTTGATTATGGACTCTCTTTTAGTCCACTATGAGCAGCAAAAGGTAAGCATTAACGTGTTATCCGAACTTTAAGTCTTCGGTTAACAGCTTTATAGATACATTACTCTAAAGATGAAAATGAGGACCTTCGCATGGTTCGATCGATCGAGATGGGCTGGTTCGTACTTGAGAAGTACTACAACATGACTGATCAGGTTCCGGTGTACGCTTCCGCTATTCTTCTAAATCCCGCAAGTAGAGCAGCATATCTCAAGAAGAACTGGCCAGCCGAATGGTACGAACCAGCTATTAACGCTGCTCAAAACTTTTGGGTGAATGAGTTTAAGGACGCTTTGCCTTTAGCTAGCCCTACAGCTTCTCAACAAATGGCTCCTCCTTTAAAGCAACGCGGTGCCGTTCTCGATCAGATTCTACAACAGATGTCAGTTGCGGCGGCAGATCAATCAAACAGCGACGATCTTAAAATTTTCGCAGAAAGTCCAGTAATACAAATAGACTGTAGCCCTCTTGAATGGTGGTGCCGATCGGAGCAACGGCAGCGCTACCCTAGGCTAAGCAACATGGCTATCTCTATTCTTTCTATCGCTGCAGAGTCGTCCGAGCCAGAGAGAACATTCTCAGGTGCAAGAAGAACCTGTTCATGGGATCGGTCGAGGCTCACTTGCGACAACATTGAGAAGATCGAGTGCATTGGCAGTTGGCTTAGGGAAGGCCACATAAAACCGTGTTCTCTCAACGGAATGGGTCTACCAATGGAACCAGAGCAAGATGACGAAGCAGAGATGATAAGGGATGAGGTAGAGGAGATTCTAGAATGGACATAACCCGGTCTTGGCATGATGTATCTTATATCGTTTTTATATCGTTTATATCGTTAAACGCTTTAACGTTATAAGGATTTTTGCTTAAACGCGTTAACGTTTTAAGGTTTGCCAAAACGATTTAAAAACGATTTGCCCATGTATGGCGCCGACTTCCCATGCCGCTCGAATATTCCCCTTAGTATTAGATAAGCCAGTAACTAATCGCATTCTTTCGCTTGTATTTAATAGCCACAACTTTTTTCGACTTCCTGTCTACAAAGTTTTGCTCCAATAACGTGACCAAAGCCTTTACCGCCTTCAACGATGCCTCCTTACCCGCTCACTTATCATGCGAGCCAAGAAACCTATAATATATCTCCAGCGTATCTACCGCTGTCGTCTTTCTTGATACCTCCTTCCCTGCCGACATATCGCCGTAGCCAAGATGCTCAATGATAACAGTATCGAGCATACCAAATGCAAGGGATCGCTCAAGCTTATATTCGTTAAACAACTCCAAAGCACATCTCGGCAGGAACCTGGTGAAGCCTCTTTACTGTTGGATTTGCCCCTCTTAGGCGTTCAAGGTCATAGTTCCTGATACCGAGGTGAATAACACGTAGTCCCGGGAACAGGTTGGCTCGCGGGAGAGATGTGGAACCACGAAGGAAGGAGATGTCAAAATGTAACTCGCGGACGAGCCTAAAACGACCTGGTAAGGCGGCTAGGAAGTTCATGAAGAATCGGCAGTCGACGGGTAGGCAGAGCAGAAACTTTGAGTTCTTAATGAAACTAGCAACGGTTTCTTCAGACGTCCTTTTCGAGACAAAGCATATTTTAGGTAGGAAAGATCGTTTGCGAGGGTCGTTGCGTGCCCTGACAGCTTTATGAACTTCTACTTTCTTATCCGCGTGTGGAAGTGCAATGGCCCAGATGCTGAGACGCAGCTCCATTGGAAGTTCGAGGTAGCGGTGGAATGTGGGTTCTCGCTTCAAGGATTCGATCGCTACAGCATTGATGCCCCTCTTATCTTTATCTTGTTTAGCTAAGAAATCTAATGCGGCATTCTGTGCGAACTTACTCTCTTGGACCTCGCATACTGGTTTGCATTCAGGTACGTATTGAATAGGCTCATCGGCGGTAGAGTGGCGCATAGCCTTGAACAAAAACTCAAAAACAGCTTCCATAACTTCGGTGTCCTGGGTGTGGAAATGGTAAAAGTGGTGATTTTGAAACCCGTCAAGTAAAAATTGAGGTCAAGAGGAGAGGGCTTCGTAAAACAAAAGATGTTGTATTCCGGGTAGGGATTCTCTTTAATACTGGATTTGCTACGTCGATGTAATCTTATCAAGACTTTTGTATGTGGTAAATTTGAGTGCTGCGGGTCAGGTGTACCGTGGTACCATAGTATTAGAGTCTCTATTGGAACAAGGTCCCTCTAGTAGTATGACTACTATGGATAACCGAGTGGGAGGAGGGACAAGGCGGGGTGGCTGCAACGTATTGTATTAACTATCGTAGTTCGGTGTCAAGGTCTCACTTTATTGTGGTGGGTGCTATTGCCCACCGGGCAGTGCCTGCCACACCAGCACATCATGTGATCCCCAAGCACCTTCTACCTGGACTGAACCCAGATATTCTCAACACTCCCCCTCAGGACAGGTCCGGTCCGTAGACAACTCCCAGTTGGTTCTTGAATCTTTCAAATGCAACTCGCTGTAGAGGCTTTGTCATTCCGTCAGCAACCATGTCTACAGTTAGCACATAGGCTACATCAAGTTTGCCTTGTTCTGCCAGGTCCCTGACATAGTGATAACAGACGTCGATGTGCTTTGATCTTTCGTGGAGGTGAGGGTTCTTTGTAAGTGCGATGGCGCCCTGGTTGTCTCCCAGCATCTGAACCTTGTTGGTGTCTTTTCCAATGTACTTTGGGAACCCAAGGTCTCTGAACACTTGAGCAATCCACTGGCCTTGCTTGCAGCATGTTGACAGAGCCATGTACTCAGACTCGCAGCTTGATGTAGCGACTGACCGTTGCTTCTTGCTAGGCCATGATATCGGGCCTCCATAGAACATCGCAGTGCTTCCTGAAACGCTCTTTCGGTCAACCACATCGCTTGCCCAATCAGCATCAGAGTAGATAACAAATTGTGAGTGTGCTCCCCCTGGTCCATAGCGTAGTTTCATTGAGACCGTCGATCGAAGATACCGTAGCAGGTTTTTCAGTGCATAGCCATGGTGTTCTGCTGGATCGCTCATGTATTGGCTTAGCTTCCCAAGGGTGAATGCAATATCTGGACGTGTAAGAACCATAGCGAACATCAGGCTTCCAATGCCCTGTTGGTACTCAGTTGTGTCAATTCGAGTGTCGTTGTCAGTAGCTGGTCTGAATGAGGTGTAATCGGCAGATGGGATCTTCTTATCCTTGTGCTTTTTGCTTGACATTCCAAACTTTTCAAGTACTGCACACAGGTATTGCTCTTGGTCAAGGAAGATTGTACGATGCTTTCTGTCTCTCGTAACTCGCACTCCAAGGACCTTATGTACCTCCCCCAGGTTCTTGGCGTTAAATCGTCCAGAAAGCATCTTCCAGAACCACTCAGTCTGAGATTGCTCCTTTGCCGCTGCAAGGACGTCATCAACGTAGACCAGGATTCGAATCTTTCTCTCCTCATGGACAAACATACAAGGGTCTGCAAGGCTTTGCACAAATCCCCATGCAAGAAGCTCTTTCTTCATTAACAGGTTCCAGTCACGAGCAGCCTGTTTTAGCCCGTATAGGCTTCGAAGTACTTTCAGGACACGTCCTTTCTTGACGTGAACTCCTTCAGGTGGTTTCAGCAGGATTAGTTCCTTAAGATGGGACTCAGTGAAGGCGTTCTTGATGTCATAATGAAAACATTCTAAGTCTTCTGCTGCGACAGTAGCTAGGAATAGACGTAAGGTGTCCATGCGAACTGTTGGTGCAAAAGTCTCGTTGTAGTCGATTCCATGTACTTGGGTGAAACCCCTAGCCACAAGGCGTGCCTTAAATCGTTCAACTGTCCCATCTGGCTTAGTCTTGATTGTGAACACCCACTTTGAATCAACCATGTTGGCGTCTTTAGACGGTACAACTTCTTCCCAGGTTCTATTCTCCATTAGTGAGGTAATCTCCTCCAGTACTGCTGCTTTCCACTGGTTTCCGTACCTTAGGTCACGGATGGCTTGTTGATATGTCTGGGGGATCTGGATTCCTGCGATCTCTGTTGCTGGAAAGGCCTTCTCAAAAATATAGGCGTCTTCGTCTGTTTCTTTGTCCGTAAGATTAACTTGTGCTAGCATAGCTTTGATAATCTTGCGGAATCTTTCATCTTCTGCAGTGTCTTCGCCAGCCCTCTTGCGCTTAGACCCTCTTGTGAAGTATCTTGGGGCTTCTGGCAAGGATTGGACAGGTTCCTCGGATTCTTTAGTTGCCAGATCAGGTACTCGCTCATCTCGAGAGACGGTAGTAGGAGGAGCGGTAGTCAACTTCCTTGGTCTTCCTCTTCTACGCTCAATCGGCTCAGGATTCAGCTCCACTTGTTCTGCAGGCGATGTGTCCATTTGTTCCGCAGGAGGTGGCTCCATCTCTTCTGCAGTCGGTGGTTCCACCTGTTCTGTAGCAGCTTGTTCTGTTGGTTGTGCAGGAGTCGGTTCTGCAGGAGTCGGTTCTGCAGGAGCTGGTTGAGCATGAGCTGGTTGAGTAGGAGTTAGATCTTTCCTTGGTCTTCCTCTTGGTTTTCGGTCTGGCATAATGTTCTGCGTTCCTTGTGGTCCAGCTGGGATGTTCCGCAATCGCAGTTCGACTTTTCCTCCAGGCGTGTATTCATCCACAGATATACGGCTTGATCTTGAGGTGTATCCCAGTTCTGGCGAGTAGAATTTGAACTGCTTATTTGTTGTCTCAGAATATCCCATGAATACTCCAATTCTGCCGCGGTCCACGAGTTTGTCATGCCGTTGATCTGCTGGGATTGTCTTGGGGTTGATGTAGGAATAGCATCTACTCCCCCATACACGGATGTGATCAATTGATGGCGTTCTTCCCGTGAATGCCTCTTCAGGGCTGACTTGCTTTCCATCAATCGTAGGTCCTGTACTCGTGCGGTTTCGTAGATATGCGTCTGCTTCGACAGCTTCATCCCAGAACTCAATTGGTAGACCAGCGTCCTTGAGCATCGCCCTCATGTCGGCTTCCGCAGTTTGGATATTTCGCTCAGCTGGTCCATTCTGATATGATGATGCAATTGTGGTAGGCTGCAGTTCAACTCCATATGTGACTCTCCATTCTTCAACTTGTTGCAAGAGTTCTGGCGCGTTGTCAGTCCCAGCCGCTTTGACTTTCTCGTCAGTCTGATGTTCAACAAAAATCTTCCAGGCTCTAAGCTCCTTTTGGGCGTCTCCTTTCTGCTTTAACGGGACAACCCAGTTCTTCCGCGTGTAGCTGTCAATAATGAGAAGAAACCATCGATTTCCTCGCAAGGATGTTGGGAAAGGTCCTGCAACATCAAATTGTACTAGGGCTAGCTTCTCATCTTTGTGGTCTCTCAGCTGCTTTGGGATGCTGTTCCTTATCTTCGTTAAGGCGCAGACTTCGCAGATCTCCTTCTTTTCTGGCACTTGAATCTTCTTCTCAAGGGTTGTGACTTCGTGGAGTTTGGCAATCTTTGCAGGTCCCAGGTGTGCAAAGCGTCTGTGGTACAGCAAGTATCTCTCCTTTTCGCCAGCCTTGAGTTCGGACTCATCTAGTGTGTGAAGGACTTCTGTATCTTGGGCTGGTGTATCGAGTTCTGTGCCTGGAAATGCTGTTTCTTGGTATCCATCTGCAATGTGTGACACTACGTAGAGACCATCGTCCATAGTTGCTTTAATAATCGTCTTTTTCCCCAGTCTGAAGGACAGTGTGTGGGAATTGAAGCGACCCTTAAGGCCTGCTGCGCAAATTCGTCTCCCTGATAACAAATTGACTCCAAGGTTGGGTACAAGCAGTACATCTGAAAGCCATGTCGAAGATCCATCCTTGCACACCATTTGGGCTTCTCCTTTCCAGTCTGCGTGTAATTCTCCCCCTCCAACCCGAACGAGTCTCCGCTTAATCTTGATCATTTGTCTAAACAGCGAGGGTTGGTCAGACATGTGTGAGGAGGCGCCAGTGTCGCCGGCCCAGGTAGATGGAGAGGCCTTACCGAGGATGTCTTTGGAGAGACGGCATGTCTCAATTTCCTCGTCTTCCGAGTCTAAGGTATCAGTTGATGTCTCCAGCTCTGAATCCGACCTGGCTTCTTCGGCTCTATACGCTTTGCTAGTCTTCTTCTTGGGTTTCTCAAGCTTAGGAGGAGGCTTAGACGACTTAGGAGGGAGCGACTTCTTCTTCCTTTGCTTCTTCTCAACTTCATATTCCTTCAAGAGCTGTCGAGCCTTCCTAAGCTTTGAACAGTCTCGCATGTAGTGAGGCTGGTCGCAAAGATAGCACTGGATGCCAGACGTAGCACCGGGTTCAGAGTCAGATGACAACGACAGCAAGTCTTTGTCGCCTCGCTTGTGCGGCGGAACGTACTTATAGGCTTTCCTGAATGCTGGTAGTGCTTGCTCGTTGGCGTCTTGCTGGTCTCGGACCTCCTTCTCTTCTAGGAACTTGAGCTTCTGTTCAACAGTGAGGTTAAGCTGTGCATTTACGGTGTCAACTGTAGTCCTGAATCTCGTTGGGAGTGATCTGATAAGGATGAGTAGCAGTGCAGAGTCTTTGTAGGCTCCGTCAGTGTCAGCATCCGCTGCCACAAGCTTGCGTCGGTAGTCCTTCAGCTTTTCCCATGACCCAATAATTGTGCTCTCAGAATCGAATGTAAATGTCTGGATCCTAGTCATGTACATGTTGGCGGCTGTAGCGTTGTTTTGGGTGTACTTCTTGCGCAAGTAAGCCCAGAACTGGAAGGCAGTGTCGTACTCGTCAATAAGGGCCTGGTCATCGTCGCCAAGAGATCTAAACAGGAGGTCGATTGCAGTTGCTTCGTCCTCTAGGTACTTGTCTCTCTTGTCGACGTTGATGCAGACCTTAGCAGTCTTGTTGTCTGTAATGTCCAATTCTTTCACAGCGTCTGATAGGTCCCTAGGAGTAGCAATCTGGCAGTGCTTCTCTAGGCTCTTCTCGCATACGTAGAAGACTCTCTTCCCTTTCAGCTTGACTTTGTTCCGGCGGAACCAAGCATCGTGATTCTCAGCCGTAAGTTTGGGGATCTTCCATTCCTCCTTTGCTTCAGCCATTGTGTATCAGAGGTAAGAGAAGCTTGGACGTATAGGTAGTATACTGCAGGCGATGCAGGCGGTGCAGGCGGTGCAGGCGGTGCAGGCGGTGCAGGCGGTGCAGATGTTGTCGGTTCTCGAGCGTGGAGAAGGTGTGGGTAGGTGAGTTTGATTCCTGCTTGAATCTGAGTCCTGCGCGACTCTAGTTGGTGATCAATTCCTTCCGCGAATTGTAGCTAAGTCATTCGTGACTTTTGAGGTTTGATTCCTTCTTGAATCTGAGTCCTACGTGACTTCTGGTGGGATCAAAACAATGACGTCAGTTTTGGCAACCGGTGCTCATAACCTATTGGAACAAGGTCCCTCTAGTAGTATGACTACTATGGATAACCGAGTGGGAGGAGGGACAAGGCGGGGTGGCTGCAACGTATTGTATTAACTATCGTAGTTCGGTGTCAAGGTCTCACTTTATTGTGGTGGGTGCTATTGCCCACCGGGCAGTGCCTGCCACACCAGCACATCATGTGATCCCCAAGCACCTTCTACCTGGACTGAACCCAGATATTCTCAACAGTCTCTACCATATTTTCAGCGCACAATGTCAGTCACCAGGGAGTGTAAAGTGGTATTCCCACTTATTCTAAATGGCGCAATATAAGTCCAGGATCTGAATTTCCAATCTTTGTACACTCACTCTGTCAACCTGCTAATTTTTCTACAGTATGGCACGGCAATGTCATGGTTTCTCAGGACAGTAGGGTGGAAAGGGTTGGTAAAGTTTTCGTCAAGACTATGTAATCTATGGTTTTTTCAGTTTGGTATATCAATAGCTGCTCATGCTACATATAGTGTTGGAAGGCCTTGTACGATCGTACGGTGAATAACAGTAGCTAAGGTAATCTTGTGTATTGGTATTCTGGTGTATGATGATTCTACGAATGTGGGGGCTACGAAGGTATACATAGCGTTGGGTCCGAGTTGGGCCGAAGTAGGATCGAGGCGGTACATTGGGCCTTATTAGGCGACACACCGTGTGTATGCCGACACTGGCAATCTTTTCTTATTGTAACGACTGATGTAAGGAAAAACGGGTCTTCTAAAAAGGGCACAATGAGAGGGATTCCAAATAGGCATATGTGCCTACTCCGTAGGTCGCTGCACAGATCCCTCTACTCGGATTGACAGCTTGTTGCTTTCGATGAAACGTTCTAACGCGCGATTTGGTGTTGCTTTCGTGAATGCGTCCGCGGGGTTGTCCTCTCCGTTGATCCAGCGGATCTCAGTGATCTCGCGACGCTCGTATGACTGCCGAAGCGCCATGATGTCGATCATCAGTCGCTTCTCAGCAGTTGTTCCGAGTTTGACGAGGCATTCATACAAGGAGTATGAATCCGTACACACAATAAGTGGGATCGGTGGTAGACCTAGGCGTCCTGTAATTATCTTGAGGGTTGTTAGGATAGCGATAGCGATGTCGACACCGCTAACCATGCCGTACGTTTCTGAGGCAAGAACGCTCCGGGTAACGCGTTTGCATTTGGTCGAACTCCAATGGATTACGTTACCACGAATATCAAACGTGCTGTCTTGTCGACTCGACTCATTCGCAAGGATAAGTAGGTACCCTAGCTGTGAGCTAAGGTCTTGGTTGTTCGCGAAGGATCCGTCTGTGAACACTACCAGCTTTGCTGTAGCGAGGTCGAGAGGGACGTATCGCAGGCCTCGTTGTATGCTCTCAGATTGCCACTGCAGCCGGCGGTTAAGCTTCACGTATTCTGTGTCCTTAGGTTGTTGTATTTGCGCAGCCGCGGAAAGATCGAACGATGCTTCAGGTTGGCATATCGACGCAATGTACGCGCCACGCGCGCGCTGCTCCATGTACTTCTGTGCTCGGTTTGCTGCCTTCGGATCAATGATTTCGATCTTGGCACCTTGTCCCTTCTGCGTAAGTAGAATCGTGTCTCCGCGCAACGTTAGAGTACATCCGTTGAACTCGAGTGATACTTCTTTGGACAGTCTCTCCTTGGGCTTAGCTCGAAAATTGGCTTTCTGGAGCGCAGCGTCCCAATCGCGAGAGTATCGTCTGTCTGCAGGCCCACTATTCCAAACGCTTCCCGTCTCCCGTTCGTGATCAGGAGGCACGGGTCATACGTTGATGTAGCCATGTCGAGCTCCTTGCAGTGGTGTCCTTGGTACGTAGCAAACCAGTGGACTCCTGCTTCCGCGATTCCATAGAGTGGCTTGATTACGCGAATAATTGTTCCCTTGGGATACTTTGTTATAAGCTCCTTTGGGAGGTGCGCTAAAACCGTGCGGAATAGCTCTGTTTGTGCCTGTGGGTACGCTTGCGTGATATCTCGTAGTTCCACAACCATGCCCTCATCGAGTAATGCAGGCGCTAGGGCTAGAATCAGGCGCTGGCTGGCTCGTTGGATGGTTGGCGACTGCGTCAGGATCTCGTGTTTGCCCTCGTCATTGTAACCTTGAACAACGAGGCGTGATTTCTCGTACGGGACCATGGTCTTGCCTTTGACTTCGCGGACCATGCGCGATTTGAAGATACGATACCCGCCGTGTAGAGTTGGATCAAACAGCTCAAAACTGAATACTCCACGGCCGACGAGGTCGTCGATCTCCTTCTGATCGGATGCTTCGAATGGAGCGCCCGGGACGTTAATCACGCCGTCATTGCGTAGCTTGACGGCCAGGGCGTAATCGTCCTCCTCCTTCTTCGACAGGTACTGCACCTTGGGCTTGTTCTTTGATCCAGGTGGGCGGCCCCGCTTGCGCGGCTGAGCCGCTTGGGTGGCTTCCGCCGGTGGTACCGGTAGTGGCGGTTCATCAGCAATCGCTTCGTCTGTGGTCGGAGATCCACCTGTGCCTTGATCTGCGCCGTCTATCGCTGTAGTCAGATCGCGATAGTACGGTTTTACGACAGTGGATCGGAACGTCGTTGGGCCGTTGATCATGTCTACAGTAACATCGTGGTCCTTCATATCGATGACTCTATACGGCCCTTGCCATCCATTCTTCTCGCGCCATACCATCACCTCACTCTGAAGAGGCAGTGACAGTACCCCGTCTGTAGTAGGCCCATTCCTGGTACCAAGTGCGTTGCTCACCGCATGTTCCGCTGAGGCCTTCCGCAGCGCCCTCATCGCTTTCTGGATTGCCTCCGCGCGATGGGTTATCGAGGGAGATGGTGGTGAATCCATGGATATCCGGGGGTATGCACCGAAGACGAGCAGCGTGGGTACGAGCCCGTCTGGGCCTGCGGTGTCGTTGACGGCCTTGACTGCCATCTGCAACACTGCGGCGTCGCTGGTGCCAGTGTCAAGCTCTGTCCTCAGGATCTCGTACGCGCGTCTGAGCGGTGCGTGGTATCTTTCTACCTTGCCGATAGACCAATGGGCCTCGGTTGGCACTTGTTTACATGTGATTCCCATGATCTTCGCCTCTGATCTGAATTCGACTGACGCGAAGTTAGTGCCAGCGTCGTGGGTGACGATATCTGGCGGCCCTTGATATGTATCAATCCAGAGCAGGCGGAGTGCTTCCCAGGTGTCTTTCGCGCTCATAGACGGTAGAAATCGCGCGCCGTTGAATGTTGTAGCCGAATCGATCACGTGAAGCACTGGTTTCCCACTCAGATACATCACATCTACGAGGATCTCGAAGTTGAATTCCCGATCATCTTTCAGCCTAAACTTGAATCGGCGCGGCGCTGGATCATGCGCTTGGCAGTGATGGCAGAACGTTTGGATCTCTCGGAGCAGCCGTTCATCCACGTCCTCGTGTCCTGCGCGTTTGAGCAATCGTATCAGCCGTTCGACGGCTGGATGCCCGAACCTCCGGTGTAAGCGTCGGAGCTCAGTCTCCGTAAGGAATACGCGCGCGCGCTCTGCCTTGCTTAGGTGGAACCACGGGTGTCCCCATTTGCGAATCACTGGAAAGGTAGCTTTTCCTTGTACCAGCTGGTCCGTAGTATTGTTGAAGTACACGTGGAGCCGGTCCATGTCTTTCAGACAGAGGAGAAACGGGGTGGGTGCGTTCAAGACCTCAAATTTGATCTTTCCAATCTGTGTCGATACATGTGCGGTTCCAATCGAAGTAGTGACGCTTCCTTTGCCAAATTGCACAGATGCGTTTCCAGCAGTAGACGTATCTAGAGTTACGGTGGGGTCCTCAGTTTGGAGCGCCCAGAACTGCTCCTTTCCGGCTGTCGATACATTTGAGGCACCAGTGTCAGGAAGAATGCCTTGGTACGTGATTCGCGAGTATCGATCCTCGATAAGGAACTGCGTTGCGGGCGTAATAGGCTCCTTGCACCTGTAGACGTCTTCTCCGGTCACGTGGTGCAGAAAGGCCTGATCTGTGAGGTACTTAACTGCCAGTCTTTGGTCTTCATCATCTTCGTCTTGCTCCTCTAGGAAGAACTGGTCGACTTCTTCCCCCTCGTACGCGACGAGAAATGTGCTAAACTCCATTTGCTCTCCCGTAATCGCGCAGTGTGTGATGTACTGCGCTTTTGAGCGTTTTCTTTCTTCAAGCGTATGGTTTGTGGACCAACAGCCTGTCTTGCCGCAGACGTAACATTTCTTGTCGATTTGTGTGTTGACTCCAGAGCGGTGCTGAAGCCCACCGCGTCCGCGGGTGAATCCGCTGCGTCCACCGCGAGGGTTGTAATTCCCTCGCAATCTTCCAGAGCTGTTGTTGTTGTACCGACGATCCAAGTAGTACTGGCTATCCGTATCCGCCTCAGTGAAGTTGACGGAGACGGTCATGGCGAGTGAGTTTTCGATTGACGATCGCAGATCTCCAAACAGAACCTCGCATTCTAGAGACGGCTTGTAGAGTGCCATCTCGAGCTCCTTCACGCCTCGGCATGCTGTGATTACAGTCGTTCGGAGCGCGTATTCTCCCATGTACTGCTGTCCAAGTGCTCTTTGACACAATTGGAGCTTGTCCAGCATGATGTCAAGGACCTCGTGGAGGTTCTTTTCGGGGTTCTCCCTGCGGACTTTGACAAACGATGTCGTCGTCCAGTCCGCGTAGTAATGGCCGTGGTTGACGTCTGTGTCGAAGTGGTTCTTGAGCTTTGTGTAGGCAGTCAAGAACGTATCCATCCGCTGATCGACGAAGTGGAGGTAATACTCCTCTGCGCGGCCGTCGAGAATCCGTGGAAAGACTGCATGGAACTGCCCTGGCTCGATGTCTGCGTGATAACAGATGCTGTAGAAGATTTTCAATTTATCGTCTAGGAGGTCGTACGGCTTTCCCGTATACTTTTTGTCTCGGTCCCACATTTTCACGAAGACATTGATCGTCTTAGGATCCAGTTTCTCATTGCCAAACTCGATTGGTGGAACTGCCTTGTACGGGTCTGTTTCACCAGAGGGCACAATTGGGGGAACGCTCAGTCCCTTCGGACGTTGCGGGTATGCTGGTGTATACTCGCGGAATCGGTCGAAGTTGTTGTAGGTGAGGGGAGGTTGCTGACTTTGGACGCGCTGATAGGCTGGCTGCGGTGCGGATTCAGTTGTCTCTACAGGCTGGCTTCGGATTGGTTGGTTTTGGGCTTTCTCAATCGTTTTTGCCAGCTGGTCCTGAATCTGTTGTTCTTCCTCAACGGTCTCCTGTCGTCCTTGCACACGGGCGTGGGTCTGGTCTTGATCGCGGGTTTGCCGACTGTCTACGTCTCGGCCTCTTGTCCTTACAGGCGTTTGGGTTCGGCTCTGGGCCTGGCTTGATAATCTCCTGTCTGTGGACTGTACTGATCCTTCACTGCGTTGTTGCCGTAGTGCCCGCTCTTGCAACATGTGCGCAGCTGATCGTGTGTCAAACACAGCCGACTGGAATACGTCCTGAGGCCATTCTAGGTACTCCTCCATGCGTAATAACCTAGCTAGAGACTCACTAGGTGCCATATTAATACGGCCAGTATACACTCCCTTAAAGCGGAGGATCCGCTTTAGTTCCTTTGTGTATATTGGCTGGGCACGTAGGAACATTGCCTCTGTCCATCCTTCAAAGTCCTGACGGAACTCCCAAAAGAGTTCTTCATCTGCTGCTGGTCGATCTGTATAGTCCGCAATCGCACGCGCAATGTACGTTGTTGCTGTAGTAATCCCTACCTCATCGTCTGGAGCTTCAACGTTGTCCTCCCAAATCTCTGGATCGATGTGATGCCATTCTCTTGGTTTTATGTTTGTGGTCCCTAGTAGCGCCTCTAGTGTGGGTACCACTCTTCTACTACTGCTCGCCATTCCTACTGCCGGTGTCCTGGCTACCGGTGCTCTTTCCGATGATGTTCTCTCTCCTGCTATTGTGTTCTTGTTGACGCTTGTTGCGCTAGCTGCGTTCGCTAGAGATGCGTCGGTGGTCGTGGGTTGTACACGGGTCAAATCTCAACCGGTCGGTTGGCGCGTGTATAGACGGCGTCTTGGAACGCTTCTGATACGGCTGTAACGGTCGGTCGCTAGCCACGAACGACGCCTGATATAGCTAACAGTGAGCTTAGCATAGATAACTCCGCCTTGCTGATATAGGCAATCTAGGGAACGCGCGGGGTAAAGAATCTATCTCTTCTTAACCTAACTGTCTGTGACTGCCGTGCAATCACTGATCAGTGTTGGAAGGCCTTGTACGATCGTACGGTGAATAACAGTAGCTAAGGTAATCTTGTGTATTGGTATTCTGGTGTATGATGATTCTACGAATGTGGGGGCTACGAAGGTATACATAGCGTTGGGTCCGAGTTGGGCCGAAGTAGGATCGAGGCGGTACATTGGGCCTTATTAGGCGACACACCGTGTGTATGCCGACATATAGAGTATTATCCAACTACTTGGAGTCGCGGTGATTAATGACGTTGAGGGTGCGAACTAAGATAAGCTGAGTCGGATAGCTGTCTGGGCAAACGCGCATGAGTTGAGCAAGCTTACTGATATCTGTCTTACAGTACCCTACACTTCACCAAGCTGTAGAACTATATTATGTATCTCGACAGCATCAATTAAATCTTTCTAACATATCATACACCCACACTACACCCTCCCCTCCTCAAGACCGCGGCTCCTTCGCCCCAATATCCCCACTCTCCCTGGCCCAACTTTCCTTCCCCTCACTCGGCCACACAACCCCCCTATCCTTATCCTGCCCCGCCGCCCACTTCTTCAGCGTCTCCAACTCAACCTTATCCAACGCGCCCTTATGCGTAGCCTCCAGCTTCACCCGCGGAACTTCGCCGCCATTATCCGCCGCCTTCTTCCAGGTTGAGGCATCGAGACAGTAGCGTTGGTCGGGGCCTACGCCCGCTTTGCGCAGATCGGTGCCGTTGGATGAGGCGAGGTCGAGGAAGGAGTTTGTGAGTATGGCTGCGATGGGGTTCCTGTCTGTACACATTCCGGCGTGGATGGAGGAAGGGAGGGAGAATGGGGCGGAGGCTTCCGATGAGTGCTTGTGGAGGGGTGCGTCGAGGACTGTATGGGGGATTAGTATGGGTTGGGTCGTTGTTCGGGAAGATGGTGATGGCTTGCCGTTCCTTTGCTTCACGTCCATCAGTCCTTGCATGTTCTTGGCCGACATTTTGAAATTAGTGGTGTTGGCTGATGTGCTGGATTGAGGTTCGTGGACGGTTGGTTATTGTAGTGACTTGGTAGCTGAAAGAAAATCTTGAAGAGATGCAGAATGCGACGAGATTTTGAATGAGAACTCCATTTGAAGCTTTTGACTCTCTTTTTGCTAAGTCGAGCTACGAGCGAACAATGATGCCTTCATGACCTCCCGCACATCTCTGACGCGCTTCCATGATTTCGCTGACGTCAAGACCAATGCCACAAGCGTGCTAGGAATACATATGTAAACCACTGGTCCAAGCATCTCTAAAAAACAAAAAGGCTTTCCAACGCTGTATGATTCCACGTTTCCAACTCTTCAGATCACAGTTCTGGTGTCATGTCGAAGAGGGACCTCCCACGCACCCTCCAACCCCAATACCACGCTAATCCCCATCCGCCACAAGCCCCCCAACCCCTGCATATCACCAATATCCTGCGACGGAGCATCCCGTACCCCAACTACTCTCACCGCCGCACCGTCATATCACAACACGTACTTCGCCCCAAAGTCTGCATAGTACAGCACACACCGCGTGACATGGCAAAAGGGCAAGAAAACTAAATGGCCGCGCAACACACCGCTTGGCACACACGACCAACCCTCTGCACTAGGCTGTTAGAAGTCGGCGTTGTCCAAACGCCGACATGCCGACAGAAATCATCTGGCCACGACTTTTGGTCCACGAGTAGCACACATTCATTTCCACCGCACATTGCGTCCCATGGATCCGCGATGCAGGTTTTCATGGTTTGGTAAATGAAGCGGGGGTATGAGATGGAGTCTGCAGCCCTGTCTGTGTGGTTTGGGGAAAGAGTGTTTTTGGATAATAATGGAGAACCATGCGTCATCGTCACCGTTACCAAACACCTGCTCCTTTCGCCTCCCCTGGTGCTGTTTCCCCAAACGACCGGTGTTAGTGCCAGAGGGTAGGTAAAGAGAAAGGGCAGGGCAAGACAAGCCAGGGTTGGAGGGAAGGGAAGAGCCTAACGCTACCACTCCAGCGGCGCGCGCTCACCTTCTTTGCCGAGTCCAACCCATGTCACGTACATATCCGCTCCGCTTTGGGCTACCCACACCACCCACCTAGCTTTTGGCACACACTCTCCACATCTGCAAGCAAAGCGGCAAGGGACCTTTGGCTATTGGGAGATTAGTGACATCTCTTGCCCAAAAGTTAAAGTTTGGCACCATCTCCTGTGAGATGTGGATACCACGACGGGCTAACCGGTGATTACTTACTCCTCTCCACTGCTGTCTGCCCCCATCCGCCCCCCTTTCCCATTCGTATAGTGCACCCTGGCGGAAACTAGAACCAAGCTTTCATCTTGCCGGCGAGTCAAGCCCAAGAGGCAAGGGAAGATGTGACGTCAAGTCCCGTTTCCCACTCCTGCCCCTGTCGCGGGCGATGTTTCAGAAAAGTCGTGATATTGCGCACAGAATATGTGCCTAGTGCTGCTTTTTCACGTGCGGGAAAACGTAGAGCACAGGATAAAACAGCGTGCTTACGTCGGGAACGCACGACATGTCGGCTGGGGAATTATCTTTGCTTGTAGCGGCCAAGCTGAGGGGAACACACACATCTGCGCCCCCGCGGAAAAATGAATATCAGACGAAGAAGAAAAATTAGTCTTGGCACAAAAGGATCACATGCAACGGGCGGTGACAAGAGAGGCTTCGTTCTCGTGATGCAGAAACAAAATGAATGGCATGGCTAATACATGCATGTCCGTTACAATGGCAACTCGGAAGAAGCTGTGAAAGCAAATATTAGGGCGAGATGACTTGCATGCAGTATGTCAGACTAGAGCTGCGTGTGTGTGTTACATGCGTATTGATTTGACGTTGCCGATAGCTGCAGTCTAGTCTAGAGCCTCTTGTGGCCGTGGAGATGCGGGGGAACCTGCAAGATAGATGGATACTGATCACCGTAGTGGTTGCATGAACCATGTCAATCAGCAGCTCAGCTTTTCCGGTAAATGGCAATGGGCGTGCAGACGATTGGCCGAGTGAAAGGCTAGGTACTGCAGACTATACAGGCCCCGCTCATGATGGGTGTAACGATTAATCGTTCGATGAATGATGAGTGTTTATCCATGCTTTCACTTTGCTCTATACGCTAGAAGGATGATACGATAGTCCGCCCAATGCGCTTACCTCATCTACCTCGAAACCCAAGCGCCCGGAGTACTCCAAAATCTCCACCTCCGCTGTATAGCACGGCCCACAGATTATGTCAAGGATCGAGCTGTGTCTAGCTCACCGGAACCTTTGCATGGTACGATATGGCAAGGATACATGCCGCTTCTAGCCTTGCAGCCTTTGCCGAATCTCGGCAACGACGTTCCTGATGCGTGGCTCCTTGACCTTCTGCTCGGCACGGGTAATCGCGTCGCCTATCTGAAGGATGTCCCTACCAGCCTCACAGAAATCGGGCCCTAAACACAACAAGGTACCAGTAGCGACGAGTGCACGGTATACAGCCTCGGAGTCAGTGGCCGTAGTGAGTATTTTCGATAAATCGTCAAGTAGTGATAGTGCACGGTCGGCATTGTTCTCGGAGTTGAGAAGAACCGAATAATTGATGTACAGCGTAGTGAGTGCGATGATCAAATTCCGGTTCGGCGACGCCAGGAACGGCGATACCAAGGGATGAATGGTATCAAACTCTGTACTGGCAAGTAGTCTTCCCTTTTCAGTCTGGAGCAGATTGCTGAGACACCGTATGGCCATCATTGTGTTGTTTGGCGGAGACGACTCCGTAAACACCCCTGATTCAAGAAGGTTTGGTAGCAGATTCTGTTCTGGCGAGACCAGGAAAGCTGCTGGTCCTTCAAAGGCAAGGACTAGACGTAGGAGATCGAGAGCGGGTAAACGCTTATCTGCTGGCCACTGTGTTGCAGCTTTGACAAGGAGCTGGACACCAGTAATGTCGATGCCTTTGCCATTGCCTTTCTCCAACGCGGTGACGGTTGCGTTCAACTGCTCAACATCTGGCGGGTTCAGCGAGATGCCCTTCTGTCCGTCCTTGACTAGGGCTTCATTGAACTCTGTAAGCTTCTTGAAGATAATCTTGTGGTTTCCAGTTGTGATTGGGAGATATTCTTTTTGCGGGAGTATCTTGGCAGCTGGAGGCGCGGGCGGAGGCTGAGCCGAGACCTGGTTAGCGTCACCAGGACGGTACCGTGCATCTGAACCCCATGGATCCGCCCCCTGCGCGGTGCTTTGACCTAGTGTTGCACCTTGTGTGTTCTGGACAATGAAGTTGGCGACTTGATCGAGATATGTCAATGGTAGTTCGTTGTCTTCGATGAATTTGCGCGCTGTTTCGTAGTGGTTTTGATTCAGATTGTAAGGCAGCTTCAGCGGGGGCTTGCCATCTTCAATGTCAACATCAAATACATAGTCGTACTCTTTGCCAGCATGTGAAATCTTGCGTCCGCCGCTGCCAGCTGAGTCAACGACGGTGCCGACATTCACCCATTGGCTCGCGCCTGCCGACCATTGATATGCCGACACGTTGCCGTTCATCTCCTTGATCATTTGCACTTGACCTTCCTTGGTGCCTGATCGCTGTGTAAGGAACTCTGGACCAGGCAGTTGCTCCTTGTTAATGTCACCCACCGTCTGCTGTGGTATCGAGGATCCCTTGACATCGTCGTTAAATTGCTGAATCTCGGATTCGGCAGCATAGCGGCTTTGATCACGAGTAAAGATGCGTGCGAGCTTATCGCTAGCGCCAGTAACGATGTCGCCGTTCTCATTGCATACAGCCACGGTCCATACTGAGATTGCCGGATGTGTGATGGTCTGTATGCATTGGTTGTTCTCCCATATCCGCACCGTGCGGTCTTCGCCAGAGCTCACTAAACCGCCGTTGGGGAGCACGGCTAGTGAGTATATGAAGTTCTCATGGCCATGTAGCTCTGCCACCTGCTGTCCATTAAGTGTCCATAATCGAATGACTGCATCATTACCCGCTGATGCAAACTGGGCGCCAGAGGGGTGACCCGGAGGTAATCGGCAGAGAGCGCGAACAACCTCGGGCGCCTGGATCGAGCGTACAGGCGATGCCGAACCTGATATGTTGTATATGCGAATCTGTTTGTCGGCACAACCTGTGATGACCGTGTTGCTGTCGTAGGCAAGGACAGCCCATACAGACGCAGAGTGACCCTGCAGAACTGTAGACTCGCCCCACTTTCCTACTTGCCATAACCGTGCCTCCATGTCCCAGCTGCCGCTGACAATGTATTTTCCGTCCTCGCTCACATCCAGAGCGCACACGTTATTGCCATGGCCTATGAGAAGTGCGTCTGCGTCGTCGTCGAGGTTCTTGGTCGGCTTCCGTACGTCAATGATTTGGTCTTTGCCACCTGATACGACCAGGCCTTCGGGAAAGGAAGACGAGGGTGGGACAATGGCGAGCGAGTTGACGAATTCCCTGCCATGGGTCTTGATGGTGCTTTCCCATGTTGGCGGCTTTGTTGACTGCTGTGTCCAGGCTCGTACGGTAAAGTCTCGCGATGCAGAGACAACCGAGGACGGCGAAGGGAATGCGACACTGCGGACCTAGAGCAGGGATCAGTGTGAATCGTGCCGAGTGCAGTAGTCAAATTTAGAGCATAAGAAAAGTACCTACATCATCCTCGTGACCACGCAGAGTGGCTGATAGTTTGAAGTCGGCCATGGTCGAGTGGTACGCGGGGTTGCTTGCTCAATGGCGGGGGAGCTGAGTAGTGGGCGAAGAGAAGGAAATACACACTAGAGAGAAAGTATATTCTCACCCATACGATGTGAGTGAAAGGGCTTCGGCTGCCTTGCGATCGAATTCTTGCCTGGACCGAGTGGTCGCGGTGACTCCTGCCGTAGAGCTTTACTGCGTCGACCGTCGACGTCAGGCTTTCGCGAGTGGCCGACCGCCGACGCAGCCATGTCATTTGCCATTATGTCAGCCAGACCCCCACATGAGACACACGTGACATGAATTTTGTCATCACTCCAGCCTCACCCAAGCATGTGCCTACTTCTACCACTCGTCTGAGCCTTGGCAATTATCTCTGACACTTTACTAGACATGGCATGAACAAGAGCAAGTCGATGGTAAGCTCCCACAGCGGCTATCCACGTGGATTAGCTTGCGGCTGACAGAGTATTTGATGTTCTGTACGGTACCAATGGCACGGGCCGCCTTGTTTCCTGGTTCAGCTATGGCTTGCCACCAAGACGTCCATGGATCTGGACATCTGGACCAAGACGGATCTTACGATGTCCTCACACGTCCAGACCGTCTGGCTGGGACGTGGCTGCAGATTACGTCGCGATCGAGCAACACGGTACTGGAACGGCGCAGGCATGTTCCAAGCGCGGTCAACGCCATCGATGGCCTTCTAGGCGCACGCTGATACGAATGCGGGGTTAGTATTGTGTATACTGGCGCCATTGTAGGCCGCTGCGGCTGTAAGGGGTGAGCTGAGCGTACGCCCTCATGTCGCAGTCGTGGTATGTGTAAACCCTAGGATCGCCTTCGGAGACGAATGAATTCGAAACCGGGGTAGCAAACTTTACGCAATGCATAATTCCTTTATCTCTTCTTGAGACGGAATAGATGCAGCGCCGTTTGCAGTTACCCTGAGCGAGCACGGTATTGGACATCGACTCAGTATGGCGTCTGCATCTCCGGGGACCCGTCGCTAACGAAGGCCAATGGTCAGAAGCGCAGCGGGTCCTGCATTTCCACCCACGCACCGATGCTGCTGCTGCCAAACGTCAAGGTCTTGGTGGACCAGCTCCGTGGTGCAGCAACCGCTGAAGGTTTCCAGTTCACAGGACGTACATACAGCACGACCGTCACTTCCTGGAACGTGTCCGCCCTCGACGGAGCGCGGCAGTCGGGTTTCGCCGACGCTCTGGCCTCGCTGGCGCCAGCCAGGACCAGCGGTAGCAAGTAAATCAACTGCACAGCTAGAACAAGAACAAGAGGCGCAGTCTGCGTTAGGCCTCGTCACTTGACCGGGCTCTATGGCTCTAGCTGCCTTGTTCCGCCGCGCTGTTCGCGGTCATGTTCCCTGCAGCCAAAATTGCCCTCGCAACTCGCCATGTCGGCCTCGCGTTGCAACCTGCAGCTCCGCTAGAGCACCGGCCTCACGCGTGACATAGCTGGCCCTGTTGCGCACGAGACGCTTGGGAAAGGCCGCCCCGTACGGGCCTAGTCCTGCGGGCGCTCGCGCCGAAGCCAAGCCATCGATTGCTCTTGACGAAGCGTTGCGTGTCATCTTGCATTGTGGGCCGCAAACTGCACGAAGGGTATACCCTGTGACTCGCCTAGACGCCGTCTATGCAACGGCCCAGTCACCGAACTGAATGCGTCGTGGAGGGAGGACGCGTGCCCTGGCTGCAAACGACGGCCAGAAGCCTACAAGAGGACCATAGCCCCTCCTACACCAAACTGCTCTTCTTGCACAAGTCAACCCAAATTCAATATACCCCAGCGCATTTACCCCATTGTCTCGATCGGCTCGGCCCCCGTCTACTGGTATCGACTTTGGTACCCTTGCATCAGCCCTACAGTTCCTCGGGTCTCGAGCTGCCCCTGTGATCGTAACCCGACCCCTACGTACCGTACAAAGCTCGCCAGACCCGTTGGCTATATTTCTTTTGACACCAATCTGCTCTGGATCTTGAGCGAGCATTTGCTTCAAGAAGGCTGTCCCCGCCTGTTTCAAACCCATAAAGCACATCAAGAACCCCAATCACACTTGACATACACAACTCAATACACACTCTCACACATACACAATGGACGCACCAATGATCGAACTTAGGTCGGCCCTTGCCTCGTAAGTCTCATCATTCTTTTCATACAACTTCCGCTAAGTCCATCAGACTGTTCGAACAAGGCCAATACTCAGATCTGACCATTGTTTGTGGAACAAAAAGATACCAGGTGCATCGTGTACTTCTCGCGACAAGATCCACCTTCTTCCAGGGCGCCTGCCGAAGTGGGTTCAGGGAAGCTGAGACTGGAGTCATCAACCTCAGTGAAGATGACGCTGAGGCTGTAGAGCACATGATCCACTGTAAGCAGCCATCAGATGAGCGTTTCTCCCTGCATGTGCTAACTTGTCTAGATTTCTACCACATGGACTATCTCACCAAAAAGCCACTCTCACGCCGCTCATCTCAACGATCCAACCGACCAGCGTCACTACAAGCATCACACCTTGCCACCAGACGGAACACGCCGAAGAAGTTGAACCTTACCGCCGTTGAAGATCCGCTCATGGCGCTCGTAGCGGCGGCTAACAACGCAATGCCGATGACCCCTCCGCCAGAGCAGAACACGTTCCAGAACATGGACGCATCTATCAAGATGCCCGATTCGCCGATGGTCGATGATTTCCTCCAGGATGACGATATTGAGAGCATCCACTCCGAGCAGGAATTCGACGTTGAGACGACGCATCTCGTCACACATGCGAAGGTCTACGCCATCGCTGAGAAGTACGTACCACCATTTTTACCCTCATTGCTTTTCATTTGTTCGCATCCTGGTCTGCTGCGGTTGCTTTCATCTGCACTTGCAGATTCACTGGTCTTGGCTATGACGAGGTGCATCGCGGCGTTCCCAAACGCCGACATCCCCCGCTATCTGCGTCACCACCACGACCCACATTACCAATGGCAACGCTTAATGCACGTCCCCTTGTCGAGTAGCACGCAGCGCTCTTTTTTTCTGCGTACAAATCCAAGTCCGACCAATTGTTGCCTCATGCAGACAGGCCATGTGCACTTTTGACACCGACCGCGTCAGCATATCACTAGCTTTTTATGCGGCTGCTACCATACATTGCCTAGTTTGGAACATGAATGCTAACAACTATCACAGGTATGGGATTGCGGGCCTGAAAGCGCTGGCACGGAGTAAATTTGCCGACCAGATTGAGCTGCACCTCAACAGCGTCGAGTTCCCAGAGGCATGCCAGGAAGCATACGAATCTACCTTCCACACTGATCGTGGTCTACGAGACATCATCGTCCAGACCTTCCGCGCCAACCCAAGCCTGTCCCTGCGACCTGACGTCGAGATGGTGGTTCGCGAGACGCCTGGTCTTGCCTTTGAGCTCTTTCGCATGGCCAGCGGTCTTCCCGTCTTTTCTTGAGTGGATCGGCTATCGTTCACGGGCTTGGCTTTGAGAAGCCACCGTCACCGCCCGATCTCCGACCGAATCTCCAACGCCCAAGGTGCAGATGCATGCATACCGCCATGCTCTTTCCATGGCGTCGTAAGCTCAAGTTTGCAAAAACAACGCGCGTCCCATATGGAGATTGCTTCGGGAGGCTTACCAGTAGTACCTCACTTCCAACGTGCATGCACTACATGCTGTTTGGGCCTATGAGAATTTCTCCAATCCAAGCCAAAACGTTTCACAACGGCCACAATTGACCACCAAGGCATTGTGGGGTCAGCATGTCTCACAAGCCGCGCAGCCGTGCATAGTGGCTGCATCCCGCCCACATAAGCTGATCGTACACTGATCGGCCGGGTCCTTCCTCGTCCCACAAAGCAGATCTTCTCTGCGCCAGGTTCTTTTCTCTTTGGTGGTTCTTCCAGTACTTTTAGCGATCTCACGCAGCGGGTCTCAACATATTTTCGGTAGCTTTATGTATCAATCTATCACATTTTTTACATGCACTCTCTCATTTAGCCCTAAAACATTCATTTCAAGTCTCCGTGCGCTATTATTCAAGTGAATACATTCATGTCGTCTGAAGAGACTTTCAAAATCATAATTGACATTATACAGCATCTGCCAAAACCTTATCTCCCCCACCATCACCGACATCATTTTCCTTTTCACACCTTGGTTCCTTCCTGCCCTTCCCCGCAAAAACTATACACTTAGCCTACAAAACTCGCACTCCGCCCTCCGCTCTCCGTACTCATCACTACGATACCTAGCTTCGGACATCGGCGTGGTGTGTCCGTCTTGGCAATTCCTTTCTTTCCCCGTCCCCCAACGCTTTGATACCCCGCGCATTGATACTCCGGCATTTCGTGCGGGCAAAGCAAATGTCATCGTATCGAGATGATAGATAAGCGTGCGTTTTGTTGTCTAGCACGGTCAACCGTTTTGTTGCCGGACACCGATATTACCGACGCCGTTGGGGTTGGGGCTAGAAAAAGATGAAGGGAGCGGGATGTGGTTGGGGCAGTGGGTATGTCACCATGTCACTCTATGATAAGACGGGTAGTAGGGGTTGAGTCGATGGGTGGGCTGGGTTGTGAAAATTTCGGATTCCGGCGCGGATTACGTGAGATGTTGGTGGAGGACGAAGGTTGGGGGTTAGTTCTCAGCCTCGGGGAACGTAATATTGAGGTGGTGGGTTATGTGAGATGATGGTGGTGTGAGGCTGTTATCTCGCTGTATTGATAATTTCGTGGCTGGCTGCGCTCAGGAAATGTGGTCGCTATCTAGGGAGCATGCTCAGGTGTGATTATCTTCTTCTGCTTGCGCTGCAGCCAGGCGGCGTGATGTCTGTTTCCGCATCCGACACACCTGCGTCTACCTGCAGCCGTGGTTGGGTGGGTAATTTTATCGGGGGCTATGGCAATTCCGTTGATACCGTCGTGGGCTGCACGCGATATCGAACCTCCCGTCGCCTTCCTCCGCGCGGCTTTCATCTCGATTGCCCATCAATTATATCGACTCCACTCCGATATGATTGCAGCCCACTATGTAGTGTAGGACCGAATCCTGCGTCTGCGATGCTCGTCCAGGTTGACTTCGGGATGACCACCGGTTACGTGTTCCGACGGGTATCTTGTTGGATAGGTGTTTCGGGATACACAGGCAAAGTCCGTACGGCCCAGTACTGCCCTGCATATGGCACGGCCGTTCCTCGGGAAGGTCTAAGGGTCGGTTGAACCCTGGATATTGAGATAGAGCGTCTTCGATGGACTGATGGCTCTCCTCTCGCCGAAATTTCCCTCCATATTCGCGATGATTCTGTTCTGTTCTGTACATGTAGGTATCTATACTGACAATTGTTGACGTCTACCGTTTTGTGGGTCTCCTCGTGTTAAACTGGGGTCAAGAGTGCTTGTTTCTGTTCGGCCGCCAGGGGTCCTGGTAGCGTCCAAGAAGCTAACATTAATCCTCCGCCAGTCCGGCCAGGCTAAAGGATGCCTTCCTCCACTCCATGCTTCTTTTCATCTGCTAATATCTCTAGAGTGCTAAAACCGCATGGATGTAGTCTTGTCGCATCGTTTCAGTTTTCTGCGCCCGGATCTTGGTGAAATATCGTTTTCATTTGTCGGAAGCATCCCAGATTCCCATAGAGTCAGGAAGAATGGTACCGACGGTTTCCAGCTGCGGGGAATTGATTCTGTTATAAGACGGTGTTTGGCTATGGGGATCCGATATGCCCTAGTCGTTAGCGTGGTTCGCGCTTACGTGCTGCATGTAATTCCCGAAGCCGAACAACTTCATATCTTGAACTTCGCACGTTTAGACAGACCTAGCGGATTTATTGTTCATGTTATGTTGTAAGGGAGTTGAGGAAAACTGTATTAGGTTATCGAGCTCGACTCAGCGGTTTAGTTCGGCGCTATCCGAATCTGGGTACGGGTACGCGGGGAGTTGCGGAGGTCAAGCTACGGCTAACTTAGTTGGGTTACGACAATTGTTGGCTCCACTGTTCATCATCCCGCAGTTATACCGAAGTAAACAAAACAATGTAGCTTACCGAACTTCCCCTACAATGGTCCCCAAATAATCGGTTGCAACTCACACTTCTGGATCCACCCCACACTTTCCGTAAACCCGTGATAATGGTATCCACGTGCCCGCCTCATATCCTCAGGTAAGTCAATACTAGCGGAACCCCGTTGCTTAGTGACATGGCCACTCGCGTGCGCACATGTACACTTATGTGGTACTAAGATTCTTTAGGGCTTACAAGAATGGCGACTTCACGGACTTGGTCATTAGCTGCGGCGGATCGGAATTCGCAGTTCATTCTGTTGTCGTAGGCTCAGCTTGCGAATTCTTTGCCAAAAGTCTTAAGTTCCCTGGAAAGGTAGGGCGTGGTTGTGATGCGTTCCACCCTCATTTTCTAACGCTGCGATAGGAAGCGGAGAAAAGGCGTATTGATTTGCAAGAAGATGACCCGGAGATGATACGCCGACTGGTGGCTTACCTCTACGTGGGCGACTATGACCCTTCTCATGAAGTTGGTATCAAAGCTTTCGGCAACATTAAACAGCACAAAAGCGATACAGAAGCTGCCCTAACTTATCATCCACGTAATCTGCAACTCAAGGATGCTGAACATCTAAAGTGCGCATGCCTTGCACCAAATTTAACCAAGATCGAGCAGCTTGTGTTTAGCATCGGCACGCCTGAGCTAGCTCTCACTTCCAGCATTGGCGAAACAATATGCAAGGGCATTCAAGTCAAGGAGCCACTCACCATCCATGCAACAATGTACGCACTTGCCGACAAGTATCAAGTTGCGGGTCTTGGCGGTGTCGCCAAAGCCAAGTTCGAAGAGACGCTCCATCACCACTCTAATTCCGTGGACTTCATCAACGCCGTTCAGATCGCCTACAGTAGCACTCCGGATTCAAATCGTGGTCTCAGAGATACCGTAGTAAGAGCTTTCCGGGTACACTTCCAAGTCAACGTGGCAGAGATACCAGGCCTCGAGGCAAAACTAGAGACTATCGACAAGCTTTCCTTCCTGCTTATCAAGTCCTGGCCTAAGAAGACGGAGCCTGCACAATCTGGGTATGCGGGCCTGTTCGGTAGCAGTGCTAGTTCTGAACGGAAATCTGCCACGCCAGTTCCTAGCTTGTTCGGAACCATGCCCAGGCCGCCTGTCACTGGCGGCCTTGCAGCTTCAGCCCCCCTTTTTACAGCATCTACTACAAATACCCGATAAGATAGTCTTGTGGCGGATTGTCCTAGGCCCTGCACGTAGCTTACCGCATGCGTTCTATCGGCAGGTATCGTTCTACGTTGGGGTATATGTACAGTTACTTCCATACAGATAGTCGTCGAGCTGAGCAGTAAGCTCGCTAGTATTGCCTGCTTAATATATTTTTGGGGACCATATACATGTTGCATTCTAGGTCCACCTTCCAAGTAGCACCTGCATTCTTCCTACCATCCACCCTGGTTCCCCATCGCAACCGCCTTACAATCTTTGCATGCAACGTACTTTCTACCGCATGCGATGAGCCTGCCGTGTTTGAATGTACAGATATCAAGCCCTCATCATGGTTTTCTTCTCTTCTTCTCTTATCCACCGCTCACGCACAAATCATCAACGTGACATTTGGCCCCACTGTTCCCATCATCAATTTTTGGCGCCTTGCTGAATCACGTATAACTTATACTCATCTTTCGGAGCAAGAATACCAAGACAGAGAAGAATGTTGTTGTCACACGAGAATGCGGAAGTCATCTCACCGCACGCTTCACTGCTTGCGTGGTTTCGGAGTTCTCCAGCTGCTGCCGCCGAGGACGAAGAATCACAATGCGGCCTCTTCAGCGATACAGACGAAGTGAAGCATCCAATCGAGCCAGTCTCGTCTCGCAAAGACCATTGCATTGCCAAGTATGTTGTCGCCTTCTGCTGCGTCTGGTCCGCCTTCTCCATCCTCATCCTTGTAAGGCTCGGAATCTACTTTGCTGTCGATCTCGCTTTCAGCCACTATGGTATGGGCACCGGCATGGCGCAGTGGGTACTGGATACGCACCAGTTTCCATCGAGCAAATCGTATGGGGTGAGTCACCTACCAAAACAACTTTGTTTAGAATACATCGCTAATAAACGCTTACCGTAGATGCAATTTTGTCTCGATCTGCCTCAACGCGATGCACCTAGCCAAAAAACTTGGCATTACATGGTGCCGGGCATCAATGACCACTGCGCAACCGACACCATCGCCTTCATTGTAGACTCCTCAGAAACCTGGAAGATTCACTCGGACGATTACCTCACGCTGGGGTATGACGTGAGACACGAGGATCGACAAGTACGGGCTCTAAGGGCTCTGGCTGCTGAAGAGAATGTTCGGGCTTAGGAGCTGGGCGACGATCTTGCGGAGGAAGGGCAGTTGGAACATCTGATATGAGACATCATCTTTGAAAGCTGTCATGGTTTGGTAGGGTGTTAGATTAAGGATTGTCTTCCATTATGTATCATACATCGATTGCTCATCTGTTATCTTCGTGAACCAATCTCTATGCCTTTCATCTTTTTCGGTTTCCTTCTTCTTCTCCGGGTTGACATAGTGACGCCTCGTGCTTTATACAAAACCTATCAGAAGAGCTACCAAGAGACATATTCTGGGATGATTTCGTATGTAAAACGGCGTCTTTTTTAGGCGAAACATTCTTCGGTCCATTTCTCGGTATCTCTATATACATCTACAACCGCGATGTTGATAGCGTCGTAGAAACATACGCTGACCCTCATTTCTACCAAACTCGGGGATTACGATAGGCCGGATAGGTGGAATTACACAGAACTAAATAAATAAGTGTTGGTAGGGCTGTAGCACTAGTGCTGAAAGGGAATAACGATAACTAGGAATGCATTCTGTTCGGTGATGGTTCTGATTAATTGTCTTGCGAAGGGGAACTATGGAAGAGCTAGATATAGGAGGTCTAGTCTGAGCGCTGCTCGGACGCCGCGATCAGTGCGCCTGTCCGCGTGACTGATATCAGTGCGCCTGCTCGCGTGGCCGAGATTAGTGCGGCCGATCGCGTGGCTGAGATGTCGTTGATATCTGTGATCCGACAATAAGGGTATTAAAGAGAATCCAAATCAAAGATGGTACAGTTCTCAATTAGTATCCACGTACTGAGCAATCCTAATTGCCAAAACTACTACAGGGTTTTCCTTCTTCTATCCTATCTCATCTCTCTAACGCGGTATTGAGCACACAATGGTGCTTGAATCGACTCATACTCATTACATTAACATTAACATTACGTAGCTTCGAAGTATGGGTATACGCTGAGACCAGAGTCGAAAAATCTCGGAAGAGCTCTCTTCAAAATCATGTAATCGACGGTTCTTCGGTTCAGTACGGGGTAAAAATTGCTCGTGGTTCTCGTCAACTCACGATGTACTACTGGTCGGCCTCTGGTGTCATTTTTTACATGCAAGTTGTTGAGGAATTTTACCACTCGAGTGACATAGGGGTCCCAGTCCTTTGACCATGTACCGTCGTACCAGGACGGGTGCTCGTCGTATTTTCGATATCCCACAGCCACATAGTAAGGACGATGGCGCTGCTCGTCCCATACGTCCCACTCCGCATACATTTCCGGATAACTATCTCCTCGGATACTTTGACACCCCAGTAATATACCCTCAAAGTCTGGAAATGCGTCTGAGTCAACGTCTTTATCAAACTCATCAAGCCATCCAAATACTCGGGTAGTTGGATGTTGTATTGAAAGCGTCCTGAGAGTGCCTGGGAGAAGCATAAAGGGATGAGAAGAAGCTGGATGTGGGGCGCCATTGGAACACAACCCAAAGTCATGACCAAGGAGAAGATCCTGGGTTATGTTAAGGATTTTCAGCTTGCTGAAAGCTGCGAGGGTAGTGATAGGTTTAAGATAGTCGAGAAAGGTGTGGCCACGATTGCCGAAGGGTTCGAGATCCAGTGTAGTGATCGATGCTGAAATTGATACCAGACGGGATATAAGGTTATCCATGTACCCATGTCCTGGCTCGACGAGTATCTCTATATCTCGGATCCCGTTGTAGTCGATGTTTGTCAAGAGGATGCTTAACGTCTCGAGACAAGGGAAGTTCTCCGGCGAGATGAACTGTGGACTAACAGTCCCGCGAAGATTTCCTTCGCCACGATAAGTCACATAAGTTGGTACGTCGAGATAAAGAGATCGAACGGTCGACCTTTTCGTATGGAAGTCACCGATCACCTTCCAGCTATGCTGAGATGGGCAAAAGGAGTCCCGCGCTATGTTTAATCTTTGCAAACTTGGCAGAATGCACCAATTTGTGGAAAGACGGGATCCAAAGAACTCGAGATTTTCAATCTTTCTCAGGCCTCGTAGCTCCGAAAGGTCCAGGTAAGTGTCCTGTTCTGTTGGTCTACCGAACAGACAATCCATCACATTTCGCTCATATCGACTGCCATCCCAAGGAGATGGCGAGAATCCCGAAATCTGCTTGTACAGGACTTCGATAGTAAGTGTCTTTAAGTTGGGTAGTGATGCAATGATGAGTCCACCACAAGCATGACTACTACCAGACCTCAAGCGGTAGATCCAGTTTTTGACCCTGGTCGCCCAGCATGCGTGCGTCTTTCCCACTTCCCGAATGGCCTCAAATGCTTTCAGACTCTCATCCGGTAACCAGTTTTGATACTCAGAACTATAGCCTGATTCGGTGGTTATAGAGAGCGATTGTACTCTGGACGCAAGATCAGGTCGGCAAATCAGCGTGCGAGCGAAGCAAAATACCCGTCTGGTAATCGGAAAGTAGTAATTCGAATACGGCTTATCAAGCGCAGGACGAGTATAGACCATCTCTTCAGTTATGCGTCGCAACTTCTTGGAAGTGCGAACGATATTGAGAAGATCGTACTTTTCCACGGATTTGATGATGTTGACGAGCAACTCTTCTGGAAGATCACATAATCCTGCGACTCCTGGGTTATATAGCTTAGGTTTTCGCACGGCTTGAATTTTAGGCGACCAATCATGAAATTGTATTGTAGTTGTAAGACTCCTTTGTTCGGGAGTTCGAGCTACCGGAAGTGTCAAGTCAGCGGGCTCATGATTTCGGATGCTGATGCAGGTTGGTGGAGGTTGATGGGTTGGAAGCTGAGCCAAATTACACCTCAATATAGAACGGAGTTTTTTAGAGCTCAAGCTAGTGTAAAGATGTGTGGATTTTTGTCGGGGGTTGCGGTGCCGCTGAATGGTGCCAAAAGCTCGGGGTTTCGCTTTGGCGGGGACCATGACTGGGGTTCTCTTCGATCGCGAATTTGCTGCGTCCATGTAATCATTTGAGGACTTTTGGATGCGGTAGTTTTGAGAGGCGATATCATGGGGCCTCATACAATACACTGTTGGCGAAAACGGGGGACTATATAGAGCCAATATCGTGGAAGAAATGGGAGTCAGAAACAAGGTCATTTGAAATGGTCTGAAATCTAGATACCAAGCAGTCTGATTTAGTATCGTGCGTACACAACGCCGTGTGAAGAAGTTGAGTGTAGAAGATTCCTGGTAGTATCGCGAGGCAAGTGTAAGAAAACTCAAAAGAGCTCTTTTATAAGCCATTTAATCGACGGTTCTCAATTGGGAATGCCAAGAACGGGTACCACAGTACTGTAGAGGGGATAGAAAATCTCCGTGCGTACCCGAATAACTCCATCTCCACTATACCCCATAACAAATATTGCAAGTATGGTAGCGAGAGTCACTAAACACTCACCTCTTGATCAGAAGCTCGGGTAGGTGACAATATCAATCACCTCGCAATCAATAAGCTAAATTCCACGACGAATCATTTTTCCCCTACTTCATGAATTATAAGGTGTCTGCTAGTAGCGCTGTTTATGATCTTTGCAAACCGGCAATGATCACCCTTGTACGCCCTACTAACACTATTTCTATTCTACAATTGGTTGTCAATTACGACCTCCACCACTATTTCTACGTTTTGTCTCATATTTTCTAACCCAACCCTCAAAAGTTCGCCCATTCTAAAGACTGCCTCGTCTACGTTATCTCCCTCTTAAGAGTACACCTGTCAACTCTGCAGGTAGATTGTAGACATCCCAAAATGCTCATCTCAAATAAATTCTTCAGACAACAATCTTCCAGATCTTCGTTCGTATGCAGATTGCAAGCACATGATCCAGATTGCGACCCTGGTAGCATCGCCTGCATGTCTATTTCAAGTATAAGACTTCTCAAACCAGTACACTTCGATACCGGCACTTCCGGATAGAACTCGCCGGGAAATTCGACATCCCCATACCGTTTCATGTCGCGGAAAGTGAGCATGTGAATGCACTAGAAGCCTTTGTTGAGCTGCGACAAAAGCTTTCGAAGGCGTAGTGTGGACGCACTGGCGGATTCTTGACAACGATGAGTGTACGATCGAGATAGATGAGTACTCCTTCGCGCCGAAGTTGCTTATTGAAATAACATATACTGTGTAGGGCCTGTGGTGATAATACCACATGTGATGTACGCGAGTATCTGGTGATAAGCAGCCGCGTGGGTAGATCATACATGACGATGCAGAAGATGTTATCGCGTAGTTCGCGTGTGAGGGCGAGGAAATAGCGAAAGCTAGTACAGGGGCAGTGCATGTTGCAAATTACTAGTAATCTCACCAGTAGGGCTCATATGTGATCAGTGATCGGAATGGTCTGGTCTGGTCTGGTCTGAGGGTACAGACCAGACCAGACCAGGTGCTTACATAAGGACCGGTCCGACCAGACCGGTCCGACCAACAAGACCGCCAAGAATGAGGCTGAAGCAAAGAAGGAAGCCGAGGAAATGTGTTTTACTACTGACTGTCAATCTAGTCGTCTTCGTTCTCACTATCCTCGATATCGCTGTTCCCCTCAGCTTGGGGCTTTCCATACCAGGCCCGGAGACACTCGCACGCTTCTATAATATCTGCCTTCAGCCTACCACGGCGATCGACGATAGTAAGCTTCGCGCTACTAAAAAGACGTTCGCATTCATCCGACATAGGCGAGATCGCAAACATGTCTAGAGCGAAGCGAGCGAGATCTCGTTGGGAGTCGTAGCGAGATAGCCAGTACGCAATAGCCTCATTGCAACCTGCCTCTTCGTTATGAAGCCGGTCAGTAGAGATGTATTGTTCATACAAATCAGTTGTAGAAACTGGAGCGTCTATTCGAATGCGCTTATGTTCCCGCTGGCGATCAAATGCTGGGTCAGGATCTCTCTCCTTCCTGGCTGGTGGTGGCAGCATCTCGACAGGGTACCTTCCCTTATACTCTGTCTCCCAGAGATGCTTCACCGCTAATTGTGCGTTTTCAAACCACCTCTTCTTCTCTTCGTCGCCATGAAGAACCCACTCTTGCCTGAACCATCCCCACTTGCGATATGGATCAAGGATTTGAGCCGCATAATATGCCGGTGGAAGGTCAGTATCTTCAGGGAATCGATTTTGCCAATTCAGCTGCTGATTGTTATAGTACTCAACGCACTTTAACCAAGCAGCATCAGCGCAGCCTTGAAGGTACTTCCATGTAAAGTTGTTATCGTCCTCAGTGTGGATGTCGTGGTAGTGATCCTTCGTCTCGCTTATCTCCCGGAGAAGGCAGTCCAAAGTTGAAAACCAGTCCGCAAGTGACGTCTTCTTACCTTCAGAAAGCAAAGTTGCAGCATAGAAGTCTTTGAGAGCGAGTTCAATCTTTTCAAGCTCAAACCAGTGCTGTCCATCAAGCTTAAAGTTCGCGATCCCTACGGAGCCCTTTCCAGGTACATGACGAGCCGAGAAGAGCTCTAAACGTTCTCGAACATTTAATGCACGTGTAATCGAATAAAACCATGAGTTCCAGCGGGTCGAGTTGTTCTGGATAAGCTCAAGCCCGTCGAATTGCGAAAGATCTCCGCCGATAATAATTGTAGCAAACTCCTCACGCCGTTGTGGAGTAAGCCTGATGTATCGCACCAGGTTGTGAAGACGACCCAAACATCCGAACTTCTTCCAGAGCTCTTCCACCTTCGTATAGTCGCCACGTTGATGATGCTTCTCCAGCTTCGCAAGATACTTCTCACAGTTTCGCCCCATAAGGAACGCCTGGCAACAGAGGTTGATGACATGGCCCAAGCAACGTGTCGGCCATAGGGCTTATCCCTTGGCTCCTCTTTGGGCAACCAGGCAGCCACCTATTTACCCGCTAGTACCTTTACGGCCTAGCTCCTTCTCTCCTCCCACTGCGTATATAGACCTCTTCCCGATAGCTCTAATACGAGATGATGATTCTCCCCAACCTTGACGCTTGACAGGTTATGAGCCCTCACCCGCTCCCGTAGTCGCTCACGATAATTCTATTAGATATTTTGACGACCCGCGCGCCTCATCACGATCATCACCCTCCCCGCAAAACAGCTCGGTGACGTCGCAATCGCGCGCCACTTTAGCAATCGTGACCCCGCAACTTGCAGCTCATCGATCGCTTGGACGACGACGAGCTCCTCGCTGCTCACCGCCAAAAATCGCTAGCCGAACGGTCTTCGACGTCCGCCGCGATGGCAACTTACACCTCCTCCACAGCTGTCACAGCGCGCCTTGCAGCCGACGGCAAAAACTGGAAGGACTGGATTAAACAACTCATCAATTACGCAGCCGCCGATGGCGCTGTAGCCGTCCTAGATGGCGCTCCGCGCCCAGAATTTGACGCTACAGACGACAAATATCGCATTACCGCCATGCAGCGCCCGATCACTCATCCATTAGGCACCTCAACAGACGTTATCCAAGCCGAGCTTGACCGTGTCGGCAAACTCAACAAGACTATAGGACCGTTCAACAATGAGGCTCGACAGCTACTTAAAGAGGACAAGCTTGCGCTTGACTCATGGGTCGCCCGAGATGCCCGACTCCAAAACACCATACTCTCATCCATTGACAAGCCTCTCGTAGCTCAGGTGCGCACTTGCCCCACCGCCCACGATATGTACAAGGCTCTCAAGGACCTAAACAGCAACGGTGACTACGCCAATGCTGCTCTCGCGTGGACTGCCTTCATCGACCTCCGCGCTGAGACCCAACCCACAGTCCGCAGCTATATTGGAAAGTTTCGCGAGACAATTAATGACATCACGGTACAAGGCATCACACTTGGATGGAAGAAGCCTTCAGCAGTACCTGGTACATCCGCCGACCGCGACATCGAAGACCTGCTCATCATCCACTTCCTTCACGGCTTAGCTCGTGTACTCCCACAGTGGGTAGAAGCTCGCAATAACGACCTCCGCCAAGGCCATACATGGTCTATCGACACGCTCGTCGCGTCACTCGAGGATCACCTACGCCATGCCCCAGATGAGCCCGTGAAGACTTTCCTCTCCGTCTCTAAACAAGCGGAGGAGAAGCGCGTTCTCACACGCCTAAATGGCCGCGGCAATGGCAACAACAGCAACCAGAACTCTACTCCTACTCCTTCGTCTCTGCCGACGCGCAATAACAACCAACAGAAGCGTACTCCTCAGCCTGTTGGAATGTGCGATCACTGCAAGCGAGAGCACCCAGGACCTAATGAGCTTTGCTGGAAACTTCACCCTTCTCTCACCCCAGATAATGTTAAGAAGCGCACCGCAGACAATGCCGCTAAGAAGGCCGCAGCTGCAGCAGCTCGTACAAACGTTACAGTGGCCAAGAACAGCAACGACGACGATGCTGATCAGTACGATGCTCACTCATACGTGACAGTCGCCACCTTCGTCTCTCCGACTCTCCTCAAGAAGGCAGTCTCCAATCACGACTATCAACAGCGGTACTGCTACGACACTGCCGCTAACCGGCACGTCTTCAATAACCGCTCGAAATTTTACGAATACGCTCCAATCGACAATGACGTACACGGCTCTACCGGATCAACCACCGCCGCCGGCGTTGGCACTGTACGCCTTGAAGTCGTCAAAGCCGACGGAACAACAGAGAAGATCTCACTCCAAAACGTCCTCTACTGCCCCGATTTCGCCACCAACGTCATCTCCCAAGCTCCATTCAAGCGCGCGGGAGTGTGGTATCACTCGGGCAAGGACAAATTGTACACTGCCTCAGATGAGGAGCTAGCTTACTTACCAGAGATCGACGGTATACCCAACTTTCTCGTAGTTACAGAATCCTCCAAGGCGCCGGCCGCTCTCTCATACGCCTCTCTTGTTTGCTATCGAAGCTCTGCCGATGAGCCCTCATCCTCACGGCCAGCCACCGACTGGCATCATATCATGGGACACGC